ACTCCAAGGAAATAACTTAGCTGTCCAAGATCTCTAATATGGAAATTTTCCTTCAAGCTGTCAATGAAAGATATAATAGCCGAACTGCTTGATCCGGTTATGATAATGTCATCTACGTAGACCAACACAAAAAGTTTGAATGTGTTAGTACAAAGAGTAAACAACGAATAACCAACTTTTGATTCCTCAAATCCAAGTTCTAGCAATTGTTCAGAGAGCCTTCGAAACCAAGCTCTTAGGGCTTGTTTAAGTCCATAAAGAGATTTATGTAGTCGACACACGAAATCTGGTTGGGTCTCATCAATGAAGCCTTGAGGTTGTTCCATATACACCTCTTCATCAAGAATGCCATGTAAGAATGCATTGGACACATCCAATTGTTTGATAGGCCAATTAAATTGAACGGCAATAGATAAAACCAATCTAACCGTAGTCGGTTTAACTACTGGAGAGAAGGTATCAAAGTAATCAATTCTAGATTTTTTATCAAATCCCTTTGCCACAAGCCTTGCTTTGTAGCGTTCGATGCTACCATCCGGGTGTCTTTTAATTTTGAATACCCATTTATTTCTGACTATATGTTTGTCGTGTGGCCTTGGACAGAGAGACCATGTCCCATTTTCCATCAAAGCATCAAATTCACGTCCCATAGCTTGTCTCCACTCTGGTTTTGCTACTGCTTGTGTATAGCAAGTTGGCTTAGATTCAATTAAAATACTAGTTAAACAACGGAAAGGATGACGAGTGGAATAAAACATTTTGAACCCAGGAAATTCTTTTGGTTTCGAATTTCCTGTTTTGGACCGAGTGATGGTAATATTTTCTGGTGGGTCTTGAGGTGTTTTTTGAGTTGATTGAGGGTCGGGAATGGTCTGCTCATGTGAAAAGAGTAGTTCTGTATGTAAGTCAGCTGGGTTCTCAGACATTAGAAAGGTTGGGGACTCATTATCAGGCAATATGGTTTCAGATTGAATTTCGGGTATTGCATTGTTTTCACAAGCAGTGTTGGAGGGGTTCAATCTTGGGATTTCATGGAGTGGAATTGAACGTGAGATAGGAAACAAACCTGTCGACATCCTGCTTTCATGGTCTGGTGAAGTGCAGCTTTTATCCCTTGCTAGAAATGAGTTCTCATCAAACACTGCATGCCTGGAAATATATATTTTTCCTGAGTCCAAATCTAAGCATCTATACCCCTTGTGTTGAGAGGCATACCCAAGAAAGAGACATTTTTTGCTTCTAAATGAAAGCTTGTTGTTCTCATATGGTCTTAGATATGGGTAGCATGCACATCCAAACGTTCTTATCGAAGTATAGGAGGGCATGGTTTATGAAGCAGGAAGTAAGGGGATATATTTTTGAGGACTTTTGTGAGAAGCCGATTTATTAGGAAAACCGCTGTAAGAAAGGCATCAATCCAATATTTATTTGGTAGTTGTGCTTTAGCTAATAATGTTAAACCAGTTTCTTGAATACGTCGATGTTTTCTTTCGGTAATTCTATTTTGCTATGAAGTGTAGGGGCAGGTTAATCTATGATATATCCCATGTTTCGTTAAAAAAGATTTGAAATCATTGGAAATATATTCTCCTCCATTGTCGGATTGTAGTGGTTGAATTTTAGAAGAGAACAAATTTTCCACAAGAGCTTTATATTGCTGAAAAATAATAAAGACTTCAGATTTAAAACACATGGGATACATCCATGTAAACCTACCAAAATCATCGACAAAAATAACATAATAGCAATAACCACTAGTTAAAGTTATTGGAGATACCCATACATCGGTATGAATGAGTTGTAAAGGCTTGGCAGAGACTCGGGTAGAATCAACAAAAGGCAATTTAGCAGTTTTTCCTAGTTGACAAGAATTGCAAAAATCTAACGTATTTAAGGACTTAGAGAGAGGCAAATAATTGCGCAAACAATCTAAGGTGGACTTGGCAGGGTGCCCTAGGCAATTATGCCAATGTTCCAAGGATGTTGTTATTCCTAACTTTGCGGTGAAACAACGCATTTTATTTGAGGAGCTCTTGTGACCAACAAAAGGATAAAGTCTGTTTTCAACCAGTCCTTGAAGCAGGATGCGATCCGTCTTGTTGTCCTTCACACAAAAATAAGTTCCAATTAGCACAAAATAACAGTCATTGTCTAAGCATAACTGATTGATGGATAAAAGATTGGCTGAGGCGTTGGGGCAATGAAGAATATTGTTGAGTTTGAAAGAACTATGAGTAAATTTTAGAGTTGTATTTCCAGTATTTTTAATAACCAAACCTGAGCCATTGCCAACTTGGACAGTATCAGCACCCTCGTAGGAAGCTTGGTTCGTTAAATTTGCTGCATTGGCGGTGATATGAGCATTGGCGCCACTATTCGCATACTAGACATTTTGGTCATAGGAATCATTGGCTTCGATAGCCATTGCAGCAAGATCAACAGGTGGCATGCGTCCCTGAAAAGAGAAGTCAAAGCAATGATAGCAATCAAGGGCAACATGTCCCCTTTTACCACAAATTTGACAAGTTACCTATCATAAGCTTGCTGATTCGTATGAGTTGTAGGAGGAACCTGATGACCTTTGTTCGGAAGTAATGGCCTTAGAGTTGTGCTTTGCTGTTTCGGCTTCCTTGGGAAGAAGGGTGATTTTCCTTTTTGGTTTGCTGCAAATGCATAGTGTTGATCAGGTGCCGAGTTGTGTTGTGCTTCAATGAGAGTTTCAAAGTTGAGGAGTTCAGCTTGGAAGTCATCGAAGGAAAGATCTTTGTCTCGGCATGCAAGGTTGAACGTAGTGATGAACGGAGTAAATGCTGGCCGGAGTCCTCCTAAGAGAAAGCTAATCAGATCTTGATCATCAGTAGTCTTCCCTGCAGCTGCAAGTTGATCAACGAGATTCTTGGCTTCCTCCATAAATTCACTACAAGACCGATTGCCTTGAGTAATGGTCTGGAGTTGTCTTCTTAAAAGAGCAATCCTCGACCGAGAAGTAAATGAGAACCTAGTGTGAAGGACATCCCACACTTGTTTGGAAGTCTGCATTCCATAAACAGTAGAGACTAGCTTCTCAGTAATAAAAGCTAATAGCCAACTTAGAACACATGTGTCTTTCTTTAACCACATTGTGTAAGCTAGGTTAGTGGTGCCATCGGAAAGAGTTTTGGATGGAGGAGGAACAACCCCATCCACAAGATCAGCAAGATCATGACTCTTTATAAAGACCATAAATTGGACACTCCATGGCAAATAGTTGGAATCGACCAATTTTTGGGACACAGGTTGAGCATTGGCTTGGATATTAGGTTGAGGAAGTGGGGTATTGTCATTTGAGTTGGAAGCCATTATGGTGAATGCGGAAGCTATATCAGGATCAGGCGTGTGCCTTTGTAAGCTCTGATACCATGTAAGAATTATAAGCAGAGGAAGTAAAACAGAGACGAGCTTGCTTGCCGTTTGTATTTCATTCCGTTGTATTTATAGCAGATTACATATAACAAACTATAGAAAATTAAGGAGTTCAAAATACATTTTACAGCTAACTTTATCTTATTGTTTGAATCAAAACAAAATGAGGAAAGTCTGGAGATGGATCGTTTGCTGCACCACTTCTGATCTGATCCAATGTTTTCTCCCTTGATTCTCTTAACTGCTCTTCAACTGCAGCACAATTGCTTGAGTGATCTGATTTCCTTGATTCTCTCAACTGATCATCGAATGCTCTAACATTACATATGGTTACTTATTTAACATCCCTCAGCATTTCTAGAATTCAACATAAATTTTACACTTCTGTACAGGACAGCTGATGGGATTAAATGAAAAAGGTAAAATAAGAAAAGAGAATATACTCAAATAGTCCTACAAAATTTGCCAATTTATCTTCAGAACCTCCCAACATCAAAGAAGTTGTCAATTGCAGATGTAAACAGAAAGGTGACTTGTAAATATATGTTTGAAAACCCCACACAAAGGAAGTCATTCCATTATGCTCTAGGAATTGAAATTGTTGTCTGTTTTGGATATTAATTTGATACGGGTTTATGCATTGCGCTCGAAATATTATAGTTTCAAGAACTGGGGTGGTGTTGCCATCCCCTTTTTTCACTATCGTCTGCGGCAATATCTCCTTTCCAACTGATGCATTTATATTCCTGAGGATGTTCTAAAACATTATGGAATAATACAAATTTACTTTATGGCTCATTTTCGTCTAATTTGGTTTTGAAGTAGTAGTCGTGGGAGATTTGGCAAACATGGTATTAGACTTTATATTTATGTTTGTATTCTGTATGGGCGTCAGTGACAGTGGCGCCGCCATTGCATTTGAACAGGTATTTGATTTCCTTCATACTCTTGTGGAAATCAATTGAAAAAAATTGATCTATTGCTTCCCAAGTTTCAAAGATCTACAATTTGATCGGTTTCTTCAAAATGGTTAGCAATAAAAATATTTTCTTCCATACTTCTTGAAAGTGACGAGGGTTAACCTTTCTTCCGTATTCAGAGAAACAAAAGCTTAAACCGGTAAGCTCGTTTTTCCCTTATTTTTAAAGCTGGGTTTCTTAAGCACGGTGGGAAGGGGAAGCAACTATACATATTTGTAAAGCAGCTAAGGCCCTGAGTCCCTGACGCTTAGGAAACGAGAATAACATTTAAAGCCCCCAGTTCAATCGAAGACGAAGACTCTACGAACATCAAATGCTTATGCTCCCATCACCGTCACTACCTCCCTGTAGCAGCCCCATTCATAAACGCCCGCAAAACCCTTTAAACCACTTCAGCTTTGAACAAACCTTCAGAAATATTTGCACTCTTCTTCTTTCGTTAATCCACTCAAGAAGCCTCCCCAAGGGCCTACAGCNTGATCAAAGAATTAAAATAACTAATAAATAAAAAAAAGGTCCCACTTTAGAGTTCGTGTTCAACAATCATGAACTCCCAACGGTCATCTTCGTCAATTTTTAATTCTTAAAAGCCCTAGACTCTCCAAAACTTCAAATTCCTTGACCATTTTGTCCCTACAGCCTTTCTTCTCTTCCGCTCCACTCTCTCACTCTAAACAAATGGAATCTCATTAACCAGACAAACACATTCCTCTGGTGTCTACAGAGAAACCAAGAAAAACTCAAGTAACTGCCGAAACCAACTTCATCTTTAATGGGTTGCTTTCTCGCTTGTTTTGGTTCATCCAAAGATGCCAAACACCGCAAACTCAGACACAGGGTTCACTCTCCCGACCGTGTAAGAATTACGCGTTTTCTTGATCTCTCTTTTTTCTTTCCTCTTTTTTTATTTTATTTTTTTCCAGATTTTCATGGTTTCATAACCTTGCTAGTTTTTTAATAACTGAATTTCCTGTTTGTTTTAGGAGACAAAACCGACTTAAAATACTTATTATAGCTTACTTGTTTGTTGAATTGCAGCAAAGAGTTACAAGTTATAATCCTCCTGTGCAGTCTACGGTTTATTCAGCAGAGCAATACTCTGAAAAGCCTGTGACCCCTGTTTTAAGAGTGGGGTGAGTAATAAAAACTGAAAGGATTGTTCTGATTTTCGTTGCATTCTGTTTTAGATTTTGTGTTTTTTATGCATTCTTAATTGTTGTTGTGTAATGTGTCGTGGTTGCGGGTGTAGGATTAAGGCTGATGAGGAGCAGTTGAGCTCGGGTACTCGAAAAAAAGTTACTTTTGACTCTAATGTCAAAACCTATGAGCCTGTTTTGTCTGAGGAGGTCACTAGTGATTTACCTGAGATCAGTGAAGTTGGAAAGCAAGAGAAGGAGAAGGAGAAGGAGAAGGAGGAGAATTTAGTGAAATCAAACCAATCTCAGTCTTCTTCTGAAGCTAGTTCCATCACATCAAGCTCGGGGTCTTATCCTTCTAATTATAGATACCAAAACTGCAGAGAAAGTGATGATGAAGATGATGAACTGGTATTGGATAGTGATCTTGATGATGATGATGAAGACGAGGAGGATGACGGGGTGGTGGATTATGATAATGTATATGAGGATGATGATAATGATAATGATTATGCTGAATCAAGAATAGCTGTGGGCAAAGCTGATAGAGAGGAGGTTGTTGAAAGTTCTTTGGTGACAAGTGGTTTGGATAAGGGAGGCTTGAAGCCAATTCGGGATAATCGAAGTGTAAGAGATAGAAGTGCTTATGTCCATTCTGTTTTAAACCCAGTTGAAAATCTCACTCAATGGAAAGCTGTGAAAGCGAAGGGGAAACCAAAATTGAAGCAACAGAAAGAGAATTTCACAGTGGATCAAGAACCCCGGGCTTCGTTTAGTTTGGAGCCAAGTTTCAAGGAATTATCTTTCAGCTTCAAAACAAAATCTGACAATGAATCCAATAAGCCAAACCAAGTTGTTGCAGTGGATGCTAGCCTCTCAAACTGGTTGTCTTCATCAGAAACTACACCAATAAACAAGAGTAGCTCAATTTCTTTGAACGCTACACCTGAGAAAACCATGTCACAAGGATCAAACTCATTGAGGAGCCAAGAAGATAGACCTATTTTAGGTGCTCTAACTCTGGAAGAAATCAAACAGTTTTCAGCTTCTTCTTCACCAAGGAAGTCACCAAGTCGAAGCCCTGATGAGATGCCCATAATAGGAAGTGTTGGGAGCTATTGGAGTCCCACAAGCAATGCTAAGGGTTCAGGCTCAGTGTCTTCTTATAAAGGGATACCGAACACAACCAGCAAGTACACAGAGGTACACTACATGAAGTGAGCTTTCATGGAATTTTTGCATAAGGAGTTTCTGGGTTCTGATTTTAGTTTTGTGGGTGTGCAGGATAAGACAGTAAATTGGTATTCTACCCCATTTGAGACGAGGCTGGAGAGAGCTTTGAATAGAGGTTCTGCTGGTTGCTCAACTCAGAAGTCTTAATGTATTTTAGACAGAAAGATTGAGATGATTTGGAGTTTTCTTTCTGTGTGTTCATCACATCTGTGAATTTTAGTATAGTAGTAGTGTGTGACATTTGTTTGATTGTTGTAATTCTTTTGTTGGTTTGACTGATAAGTAATGAAATTCATTTGTTATTTACTTGTGCACTATTTTTAAGTTTCAATTGGGTCTATAATTACCGTTTCTCTTAATTTGCAATAAGAGCAATGCTAGTTTTACAAAGACACATACAAAGAGGGTATACAAAGACAATCTCCACCCTTAATTTTTATGATTTCTCTCTCTCTTTCTCTTTTCCCGTTTTTTCTTTGTTTTTTTCTTCTGGATAATGTCATTTTGTAATCCTTTTTGTATAAATCTTTATAAGGATATCATTTTTCTTGCAATAAATATGCCTTATGAAAAGTAACTATAAAAAGCTTTTGTTCTCCTGAATCCACTGGATATGTCCATATGGAAAGCTGTGTTTGTAGATTTAAAGAGATTACAAGTTCAGTAAAATGAAAAATGAAAAATAAAAATAGTTAATTGGGGTGAGAGAGGCTCGAACTCTCGACCTCAGGATTACTCTAAGCTATGAGACCTACGCGCTAGCCAACTGCGCCACCACCCCAAAATAATGATAATTAATTTTTTAATTAATTCTTCTATAAAAAAAGGTAAAAACGCAGCCGTTTAATTATGTTTCCTACTTTCCTTTGCACGGGTAGAGTCGTAGCAGTTGGGAATTGGAAAATTGAAAGAAAAAATAGTAGCGACACGGTTGCTCTACAGCTAAACATTACTAACTGAAAACAAACCCTAACCCTTCCCTCCTTTATTAGAGATACAACTAAAACCAAAACAAAAACTAGCTAAACCAAGCCACCACAGAAATGGACTCAGACGACGGAAAGCTATTCATTGGAGGAATAGCTTGGGACACCACTGAAGACAAGCTCAGAGATTACTTCAACCAATACGGTGACGTTTCTCAGGCCGTCATTATGCGTGACAAGACCACCGGTCGTCCCCGTGGCTTTGGCTTTGTTGTCTTCACCGATCCTTCCATTCTCGATCAAGTCCTCCAGGATAAGCACACCATCGATGGCCGTACTGTGAGTCTCCCTTTCTATTATATCTATAGTTTGTACACTTAGGTTGTTTTTGAGCTGTAAAGTTATTTCTTGCTGATTTTTTTTTTCATTTCTGGAATGAAAGTGAAATTCGTGTTAGAAGGGAACGATAACTAAATTCTATTGATGTGAGAGGGCAGGTCTCATGGATTTTTTCTTTAATTTTTTATTTATAAAAATTGGATTACTGCATTCAATTTAACGTTCTTTATTCGTCGTGCGTGGTCTAACTGGTGTCAGATGATGACTGTTCTTGGTTTTGTTTGGTTGCTTAGGATTATAATAATGAGCATACTTTGGGTGGGGGTTTTCTATTTGATTTATAATCAAGTTTCTTTTTGCTTTTAGTTACTTGATGTTATTTTTATGAGGTTTGGTCGTTTCTGCGTTGGTGCAAGTGTTTTGATTTGTGGAGATTCGTTATGCTGGGATAACTAAGTTGGAGAGATTAATGGGGATAATGGGAAGAAACTTTGATTTTGAATTATTAGCTTTCTTATGTTCAGGATCCTGGGTAACAAGGAGCCCCAGTCAGTGTGCCTTTATGATGCACCTTATTCCGGCTTAAAATAGTTGAGCTTTTTTTCCCTTGGTTTTGTCAGCTGTCAATTTGAGATTTATTGATTCTTTTGTTGTGAAATTATTTTCCTTTTTATCGAACTACCTGGCTTTTCCACCAATAATCTTAAATTAATTATCAGACGGCGTTGCCTCTTATTTGATTCCCCGTATACTATTCTAGAAATTTTAGTTCTCTGTCTCTTTATTTCTTTTTTTAAGATCACAAGCTTGCTAATTGATAGTTTTATAACTAATTCTGTCATTATTGCATTGGAATTTTTCTTGCTATGTATTAAGACCAGTGGTAGAATATCCTGCATGGCTTGTGTAAGTACTTTTTATGCTATCATCCATCTAATAGCTAAACCCTTTGGTTTGGATTCTGTCTTGGAACCAAATAAAAGCTGTTCGTTTTCTGATTGATCAATCCTGTATTATTTGTTTCCCTGTAACTGTATTTTCTGTGGCTTGTATACAATTACGATCATAAAGCTGCTAGTCTAGTCCTAGGTTGACATGCAGACACATGTAAATATATGTAGTTATAGTTGTATCTTTTTAGCAATTTAATTGACTTTACTGCTTAGGTGGAGGCAAAAAAGGCTTTATCAAGAGAAGAACAACACAGCTCTAGATCAGGAAATTTTAATTCTGGTAGAGGCGCTGAAGGGGGAAATTTTAGAACTAAAAAGATATTTGTTGGAGGTCTACCACCTACTTTGACAGAGGATGGATTCCGTGAGTATTTTGAAAATTATGGTCATGTAACTGACGTTGTGGTTATGTATGACCAGAATACGCAGCGTCCTCGTGGTTTTGGTTTTATCACCTTTGACACAGAAGATGCAGTTGATAGGGTTCTACACAAGGTATTCCATGAGTTGAATGGTAAGCTAGTGGAGGTCAAACGAGCCCTCCCTAAAGATGCCAATCCAGGTGGTGGGGGTCGTGGTGGGGGCTACCAGGGTTACGGTGCCTCTGGTGCCAATAGTAGTTCATTTGATGGCCGAATGGATGGAAACAGATATATGCAACCCCAAAGTACTGCAGGTGGTTTCCCATCTTATTCTGGTTATGGGGGACCAGGGTATGGCTATGGAGCAGCAAGTAGTGGAGTTGGATATGGTGGTTATGGCAGTTATGGTATTGGTGGTTATGGAAGTGCTGCTACTGGGTTTGGTGCTCTCACAGGGGCATACGGAAATCCAAATGCTGGTTATATGAATGCACCACCTGGGGCCTTGAAAAGTTCTTGGGGAAGCCAAACTCCTTCAAGTTATGATTCAAACGCTGGTTCTGCTCCTATGGGTCAGTCTCCAAGTGGGGCTTGTGGGTATGGGAACCAAGGCTATGGTTATGGTAATTATGGTGGAAGCGGTGGTCCTTATTTGGGTGGTTATGGGGCTGCTAGTGGGCGTGCTGGAAGTGGTGCTGGAGGAGATAATAGCTATAGTGACACCAATGGAAATTCAGGGTATGCAAATGCGGCTTGGAGGTCTGATTCTTCTCAGAGCTCTAGTGGTTTTAATGGCGGGTATGGTGGTGCACATTCCAGACAGGGTCAACAGCAATGATCAGAGATCCTTCAACATACCACTGCTTTCCCTGGTGGAGACCTAATTTATGGTGACAAGAGATTTTGGGAATGGTTGGATTGCTTGAATTTCAGTTTTAGTTACCAGTAGTCATTCTGCTTGTATACAATGACCTGTAGTTCCAAGTAGTAGCGATATTTTATCTAGTGGTATTTGTTTTCAAGTCCTAGTGTTTAACTTGAAGTTATTTATTGTTTTGTCTGTTTTTTTATGTGGAGTTACTTTATTGAAGGCCAGTGTAGTTGAATGGGCTTTCTTTATTGTTGTGGGGGTTGATGATATTAATGTTTGGTTAATGCACTTTATTAGCAGTCATCTCTGGTGGTATGCTAGTATAGTAATTTAATCGTGTTGTTCTGTAATTATACATTTTTTTAAGCCATTGCTTTAATATCAGCATTTCAGTATCTGCTTAATTTGGTATCATAGAGATTGATCCTTGAAGATTAGAGATGCTGAAACAGTGAAATCTGGTGATGCTTGGTTGATTGGATCTCTATGCCACTAGCGTTGATCACTTCCTAGTGAGTGGAAGTAAACCATAGTGGTATTTGACATTATAAAGGCATAACTATTTTACTCCTGTATTTGCCCCTTTTGTATGGGAGTTGAAGATAATACCATACTGTAAGTTGGAAGTCAAGGAACTCTGATAATTAATTGGGTTTCTGGCGTTGACAGGAAATTAAAGTGGGCTTGCTCAATGATGGTTTGTTCACATGATTTATCGGCAGATGAATGTGGCTGGAGTCTTCCAAGTCTCTGACCAGGTCATGGTATGTGTCAATTTAAGGGTAGCTGGCCTTTTTTGTTTTTCCTTTTATAATCTTCTTCTATTTGTTTCTTCTGCATGATTTAAAATTTATAATTACTCTCCAGCACTGCCAATTCATTACAGAGAATTTTTAATATAAAAGTAAATAAGCTTATGCAATTTCAGTGAAAGAGGATTTATGAAAGTCTTGGCCCTCTGGTTAACATCCCTCTTTACTCTTAGATATGGCATTATGACCTTGGTATGTAATCCTAACAATGTTTCTGTGCTTCAATGTTGAATGCATGCAAGCAGATCAATCTCTAACCAGTGGTATCGACCTAATGCATTACCTGGCAAGAGGGGTCTATCACAGCATTTTTCTTCCTCTTTATGGTTTGCACCATTTTAGATCACTCTTGATTATGATTCTTGTGATGGTGGTTTTCATTTGTATCTTTTTTTTCTATTATCCATATCTGTGTTATTGGCAATTCACCTTCGAATGTTCAAGCATTCCATTATCAACTCAGCAAGAGTAAATATGTGAAGGTAATTGGACCATGCCTATATGAAACTGTGAATGTAATTTTTTATTAGGTGGTCATGGTCACTTTGGGTGCTATTTGGTCTCTTTCAGGAGCATCAGAAGTAACATTGTTTTCTGTACAGAGTGTTGATTGCTTTTATACTCTGCTACAGGGCAGAAGGTGACGGATCTATCTAATGCAATTTTGAAATGAAAAAAGTTGAATACTTGCAATAATAGACATTATAGATAGCCAAGTGTTTGATTGAGAGGAAGCTCGCTTTATTTTAGAAGTAAGAAATTAACATGGAATGTTTCAATAACAAGTCTTTCTCCATTTTCTTTTCATTCGATATATTTCGTGCTTTAACTTTAGCCATTGCGTCAAGTTGTTAAATTGCCACTTGTGATAGAGACATGATATTAGAATCTCCTTTCATGGTTCAAATGGCGCATAGAAGAAGACACGGCCAAAATGAACCCTCGAGCATCTTGCACGATAATGTCATTTTAAAATGATCCCAAGCCCCCACCAGATTGAAAATTGCGCTTCTAATTCTAACTCTTGTTTCAGAAAAGGTGTAATTGTGGTAACATATGTCGGTTAGCATTCATTTTAGCCCCAGACAGTGTATATGCCTTTCCATTTGTTGAAAGTGAAAGCAGACATCGCCATGGACTTTAATGAAAGATGATTGGTTTGTTATGGTGGAAAACCATCCTTACCATAATCCAAAAACAGGATATGTGGCCTGTAGGTGGACTTTAACTAAGGCTTCGGCTTTTCTTTAATTTTTTATTTATAAGAATTGGATTACTGCATTCAATTTAACGTTCTTTATTCGTCGTGCGTGGTTTAACTGGTGTCAGATGATGACTGTTCTTGGTTTTGTTTGGTTGCTTAGGATTATAATAATGAGCATACTTTGGGTGGGGGTTTTCTATTTGATTTATAATCAAGTTTCTTTTTGCTTTTAGTTACTTGATGTTATTTTTATGAGGTTTGGTCGTTTCTGCGTTGGTGCAAGTGTTTTGATTTGTGGAGATTCGTTATGCTGGGATAACTAAGTTGGAGAGATTAATGGGGATAATGGGAAGAAACTTTGATTTTGAATTATTAGCTTTCTTCTGTTCAGGATCCTGGGTAACAAGGAGCCCCACTCAGTGTGCCTTTATGATGCACCTTATTCCGGCTTAAAATAGTTGAGCTTTTTTTCCCTTGGTTTTGTCAGCTGTCAATTTGAGATTTATTGATTCTTTTGTTGTGAAATTATTTTCCTTTTTATCGAACTACCTGGCTTTTCCACCAATAATCTTAAATTAATTATCAGACGGCGTTGCCTCTTATTTGATTCCCCGTATACTATTCTAGAAATTTTAGTTCTCTGTCTCTTTATTTCTTTTTTTAAGATCACAAGCTTGCTAATTGATAGTTTTATAACTAATTCTGTCATTATTGCATTGGAATTTTTCTTGCTATGTATTAAGACCAGTGGTAGAATATCCTGCATGGCTTGTGTAAGTACTTTTTATGCTATCATCCATCTAATAGCTAAACCCTTTGGTTTGGATTCTGTCTTGGAACCAAATAAAAGCTGTTCGTTTTCTGATTGATCAATCCTGTATTATTTGTTTCCCTGTAACTGTATTTTCTGTGGCTTGTATACAATTACGATCATAAAGCTGCTAGTCTAGTCCTAGGTTGACATGCAGACACATGTAAATATATGTAGTTATAGTTGTATCTTTTTAGCAATTTAATTGACTTTACTGCTTAGGTGGAGGCAAAAAAGGCTTTATCAAGAGAAGAACAACACAGCTCTAGATCAGGAAATTTTAATTCTGGTAGAGGCGCTGAAGGGGGAAATTTTAGAACTAAAAAGATATTTGTTGGAGGTCTACCACCTACTTTGACAGAGGATGGATTCCGTGAGTATTTTGAAAATTATGGTCATGTAACTGACGTTGTGGTTATGTATGACCAGAATACGCAGCGTCCTCGTGGTTTTGGTTTTATCACCTTTGACACAGAAGATGCAGTTGATAGGGTTCTACACAAGGTATTCCATGAGTTGAATGGTAAGCTAGTGGAGGTAAAACGAGCCCTCCCTAAAGATGCCAATCCAGGTGGTGGGGGTCGTGGTGGGGGCTACCAGGGTTACAGTGCCTCTGGTGCCAATAGTAGTTCATTTGATGGCCGAATGGATGGAAACAGATATATGCAACCCCAAAGTACTGCAGGTGGTTTCCCATCTTATTCTGGTTATGGGGGACCGGGGTATGGCTATGGAGCAGCAAGTAGTGGAGTTGGATATGGTGGTTATGGCAGTTATGGTATTGGTGGTTATGGAAGTGCTGCTACTGGGTTTGGTGCTCTCACAGGGGCATACGGAAATCCAAATGCTGGTTATATGAATGCACCACCTGGGGCCATGAAAAGTTCTTGGGGAAGCCAAACTCCTTCAAGTTATGATTCAAACGCTGGTTCTGCTCCTATGGGTCAGTCTCCAAGTGGGGCTTGTGGGTATGGGAACCAAGGCTATGGTTATGGTAATTATGGTGGAAGCGGTGGTCCTTATTTGGGTGGTTATGGGGCTGCTAGTGGGCGTGCTGGAAGTGGTGCTGGAGGAGATAATAGCTATAGTGACACCAATGGAAATTCAGGGTATGCAAATGCGGCTTGGAGGTCTGATTCTTCTCAGAGCTCTAGTGGTTTTAATGGCGGGTATGGTGGTGCACATTCCAGACAGGGTCAACAGCAATGATCAGAGATCCTTCAACATACCACTGCTTTCCCTGGTGGAGACCTAATTTATGGTGACAAGAGATTTTGGGAATGGTTGGATTGCTTGAATTTCAGTTTTAGTTACCAGTAGTCATTCTGCTAGTATACAATGACCTGTAGTTCCAAGTAGTAGCGATATTTTATCTAGTGGTATTTGTTTTCAAGTCCTAGTGTTTAACTTGAAGTTATTTATTGTTTTGTCTGTTTTTTTATGTGGAGTTACTTTATTGAAGGCCAGTGTAGTTGAATGGGCTTTCTTTATTGTTGTGGGGGTTGATGATATTAATGTTTGGTTAATGCACTTTATTAGCAGTCATCTCTGGTGGTATGCTAGTATAGTAATTTAATCGTGTTGTTCTGTAATTATACATTTTTTTAAGCCATTGCTTTAATATCAGCATTTCAGTATCTGCTTAATTTGGTATCATAGAGATTGATCCTTGAAGATTAGAGATGCTGAAACAGTGAAATCTGGTGATGCTTGGTTGATTGGATCTCTATGCCACTAGCGTTGATCACTTCCTAGTGAGTGGAAGTAAACCATAGTGGTATTTGACATTATAAAGGCATAACTATTTTACTCCTGTATTTGCCCCTTTTGTATGGGAGTTGAAGATAATACCATACTGTAAGTTGGAAGTCAAGGAACTCTGATAATTAATTGGGTTTCTGGCGTTGACAGGAAATTAAAGTGGGCTTGCTCAATGATGGTTTGTTCACATGATTTATCGGCAGATGAATGTGGCTGGAGTCTTCCAAGTCTCTGACCAGGTCATGGTATGTGTCAATTTAAGGGTAGCTGGCCTTTTTTGTTTTTCCTTTTATAATCTTCTTCTATTTGTTTCTTCTGCATGATTTAAAATTTATAATTACTCTCCAGCACTGCCAATTCATTACAGAGAATTTTTAATATAAAAGTAAATAAGCTTATGCAATTTCAGTGAAAGAGGATTTATGAAAGTCTTGGCCCTCTGGTTAACATCCCTCTTTACTCTTAGATATGGCATTATGACCTTGGTATGTAATCCTAACAATGTTTCTGTGCTTCAATGTTGAATGCATGCAAGCAGATCAATCTCTAACCAGTGGTATCGACCTAATGCATTACCTGGCAAGAGGGGTCTATCACAGCATTTTTCTTCCTCTTTATGGTTTGCACCATTTTAGATCACTCTTGATTATGATTCTTGTGATGGTGGTTTTCATTTGTATCTTTTTTTTCTATTATCCATATCTGTGTTATTGGCAATTCACCTTCGAATGTTCAAGCATTCCATTATCAACTCAGCAAGAGTAAATATGTGAAGGTAATTGGACCATGCCTATATGAAACTGTGAATGTAATTTTTTATTAGGTGGTCATGGTCACTTTGGGTGCTATTTGGTCTCTTTCAGGAGCATCAGAAGTAACATTGTTTTCTGTACAGAGTGTTGATTGCTTTTATACTCTGCTACAGGGCAGAAGGTGACGGATCTATCTAATGCAATTTTGAAATGAAAAAAGTTGAATACTTGCAATAATAGACATTATAGATAGCCAAGTGTTTGATTGAGAGGAAGCTCGCTTTATTTTAGAAGTAAGAAATTAACATGGAATGTTTCAATAACAAGTCTTTCTCCATTTTCTTTTCATTCGATATATTTCGTGCTTTAACTTTAGCCATTGCGTCAAGTTGTTAAATTGCCACTTGTGATAGAGACATGATATTAGAATCTCCTTTCATGGTTCAAATGGCGCATAGAAGAAGACATGGCCAAAATGAACCCTCGAGCATCTTGCACGATAATGTCATTTTAAAATGATCCCAAGCCCCCACCAGATTGAAAATTGCGCTTCTAATTCTAACTCTTGTTTCAGAAAAGGTGTAATTGTGGTAACATATGTGGGTTAGCATTCATTTTAGCCCCAGACAGTGTATATGCCTTTCCATTTGTTGAAAGTGAAAGCAGACATCGCCATGGACTTTAATGAAAGATGATTGGTTTGTTATGGTGGAAAACCATCCTTACCATAATCCAAAAACAGGATATGTGGCCTGTAGGTGGACTTTAACTAAGGCTTCAGCTTTCTGTATATCCTTAATTCCATTGGTTGTATCTAACAATATGAAGTTAATTGTCTTGATTGTTATCTAGTTGTCTTATCCTATAATCCTTGTTTCAATCACTCTCTTCTCAATTTTCTATGTGCAATTTTCTTATTCACTTCGTAATGAATCTGAAAGAGGACAAAATAATTTGCATGAGTTTCCTAAAAACATTATTCTATAAGTAATCTCATTAGTTAAGCATTCGATAAGAATTAAGAGAGCAGAGAGCATCTTGATAAAGAGATGTGATTGTGAAAAAAGAATAAAAAAAAGAAAAAAGAAGTTAAAGATGATACCAGAGATGGAAAACGAACCCTTAGTGCTGAATAAAAGATGCTCCATTTTGGGTTAATCTTAACTCGACCTAGATAACTTCTTTAATTAACTCTTTCCTAAATATAAAAACTAGTGACAACTTAATCATTTTCAATTGTAATGTAAAATATAATTATGATCTATTCATGTTTGATTGCATATCTCATAATGAAGACACCTTAGTATAAGTGATTAAGATAGAATGAACTATTAATATTTTTTACTTGGTTTTTATAAGACAGCTTATGCAATAAGAAACCATAGCTTATGGCTTTATTCCAAGGGGAGTTTTCTCTTTTCCTATACGGGCATAGCTTGTGGCACAATACTTGGCCTATGGCTTTTGTCGACATGTCTGCAGCTTTGTTCGTCGATAATCTTGAGACAAATCTCAGCTTGCGAAAATGAGTCATATATCATTAGTACACAACAAAAATGAAGCAACAGTAGAACTATTAATTACTTAACACATAATATATCTATATATAATTTTAGAGGTTAAAATGTCCTAATTACTTGAGGTGTGAGGATTTTGCCAATAAGAACTTTATAAAAAGATAACATATATCACATGATCTTCAACTAGAAACACAACCCAAGTCCCTATTACCTCTCCCTCTCTCCAAAATTATGGCAAAGGTTGAAGAAAAGGGCCCTGCAGATGGGAGTGAAGATTTTACAGAAGATGGGACTGTGGATCTCAAGGGAAGACCAGTTCTCAGATCAAAGACTGGGAGATGGAGAGCTTGTTCCTTCATTGTAGGTAAGAAAAGTTATTAGCTACATGTATATGTATATATGCTTAATAAATTTCATTTCTCACTTACCACACTGACTTAATCTTATAAAGAACTTTGAAGCTAACAGAGAACGTGTGAGCATACAATAAACAGGAGTTTTAAACTAAGAATATGATGACTATTGCTGAATCAGTATGTCAATATATATTTATATAAATTGTCTCTGTAAGTAAGGGCACCAAAGCCATAGATAAATAACGTAAAGAGAAGAAAGAAAGAAAGAGAAGCAGTGTTAACTTATAGATTGAAAGTGAAAGTAGAAACTCCACAGTTGATTGCTACCAGACACTGAAACGCTTACCAAACTGATGCATGGGATTTATATTCTGTTGAAGAAAGCTTAATTTGCATGAGTTTTCACTCTCACATGTTTTTGTTCTCTGAAAAGAAATAACTCTAAACAAGTATATTGATGAGTTGTAGTGAATATAATTTAGGGTATGAAGCGTTCGAGAGGATGGCATATTATGGGATAGCATCAAACTTAGTGCTATATCTGACAGGGAAGCTCCGTGAAGGCACTGTTAAATCTTCTAACAATGTCACTAATTGGGTTGGAACTGTTTGGATGACTCCCATTTTAGGTGCTTACATCGCAGATGCTTTTCTAGGCCGCTACTGGACTTTCGTCATTGCATCTGCCATTTATTTGACGGTAAATAATTATTTTACATATGAAACCAAACTAAAATTTTCCTACTTTTTTTCTTTCTTTTTCTTGGCTTCAAATTTCATTGACATGTATACCTTCCTTAGATCATGTGCGTCATGCACCAAGCAAAATGGAACACGTATGTGATTATTCATAAAAGAAACAGACATCACATGAGGTCTGATATTTCTATCTAATTGTGGGGAAACATATGTTCTACAGTTTCCTGACATAATTTAATATTGATAAGACAGCTTAATGAGGTTCTTCTAATTCTTATCGTTGTCTGATCTAAATCCAAAGGTTCTTGCTAAACGCTGTTTTGGTAGCTAGCTGCTTAATTAACTGGCCACTTCAATTCAATATTCTTAAATATTAAACTTAAATTATGTGTAAACAGGGAATGTCCCTGTTAACTTTAGCAGTTTCAGTGCCAGGCCTGAGGCCTCCATCGTGTCCAGGGATCAAAGATGAGGACTGCAACAAGAAAGCCTCAACTCTGCAAGTGGGTATATTTTACTGTGCGTTGTACATCATTGCAGCTGGAACAGGTGGAACCAAACCTAATATTTCAACAATGGGTGCCGATCAGTTCGATGATTTTGAGCCTAAAGAGAGGAAGCAAAAGCTCTCTTTCTTTAATTGGTGGATGTTTAGTATTTTCTTTGGAACCCTTTTCTCAAACACTTTCTTGATTTATATACAAGACAATGTGGGCTGGACTCTTGGTTATGGGCTCCCAACTATTGGGCTCTTGGTTTCTGTTTTGGTATTTCTGGTGGGCTCCAAGTTTTATAGGCACAAACTGCCTTCAGGGAGCCCTCTTACAACGATTGCACAGGTACTTGTGGCTGCAGGGAGGAAATGGAAGGAACCCATTCCAAATGACCCAAAACAGCTCCATGAGTTGAGCTTGGAGAAGTACTCAGTATCTGGGAAATTCAGAATTGATCATACCCCTTCATTGAGGTTAACTTTCTTTAACTTATACAGCTTTAAAACAATTGTTTTTTTTTATCATTATCACACCCTAATTTGAAACCTGAAGGACGAAATTAACTGAATAAAGAAATGAAATCTAGGCAATAAACACATTACGTTACCTGCAGATTCCTTGACAAAGCGGCTATAAAGTGTGCATCAGGGTCACCATGGATGCTATGTCCAGTGACTCAAGTAGAAAAGACGAAGCAAATGGTGAAGATGCTCCCAATTCTGATAGTCACATTCATACCAAGCACCATTATAGCTCAAGTGAGCACCCTCTTCATCAAACAAGGGACCACCCTGGATAGAAGCATGGGTCCTCACTTTGAAATCCCTCCGGCATGTCTTACAGCTTTCGTCACAATCTTCATGCTAATCACCATTGTCATCTACGATCGCTACATGGTTCCAATGCTCAGGCGTTACACAAAGAACCCAAGAGGGATCACATTGCTTCAAAGAATGGGAACTGGTCTTTTCATGCATGTTGTTATCATGCTTATTGCTTGCTTTGCTGAGAGGAGGAGACTTGATGTTGCAAGAACACATGGCACTCTTGGTAAAGATGACACTGTGCCATTGACTATTTTTATACTTCTCCCTCAGTTTGCTTTGATGGGAATTGCTGATAACTTCGTTGAAGTTGCTAAGATTGAGTTTTTCTACGACCAAGCTCCAGAAGATATGAAAAGTTTGGGGACTTCCTATTTTACAAGTAGCTTGGGAATTGGGCATTTCCTGAGTAGTTTTCTACTACAAACAGTTTCTGATATGACCAAGAAGAATGGACACAAAGGGTGGATTTTGGATAATCTAAATACTTCTCACTTCGACTATTATTATGCATTCTTGGCTGGGTTGAGCTTCATCAATTTCCTCTTCTATTTGTTTGTAGCAAAGTTCTTTGTTTATAATGTGGATGTCAACTCCAGAAGGGATTTGCAGGAAGCCATGGAAACTTCACAGGATAAAGGTTTACCTGAAGCCATGGAAACTCAACAGATAAAACTCCCTGTATCTTAAAAACTTTGATAGAACAGTGTACTGTACTCCAATTATATCTGTTACAGTATACATATACGTATTGGCACCAAATCAACTTACCATTGCTAGCTCTTATCACTTCCCACACGTGATTATATAAACAATACCTGTCCAAGCTTAATGCATTTACACATTTAGTAAGAGGTGAAAAAGAACAGAACATATGAAAATATGAAATGGCATGCAAATATGGTGAGGTACTGAGGTAATATCAAATACAACCCCCTCAAGGCATTATAATTGTTTTATAATTGTTACACATCAACTAAAGATACAGGATTTCTTCTTTTTTAACAAGAAAACTTAACTTATTTCACTAAGGCTTTAACATGCACAGCCTACAAACTAAGCTAACAGAGTAGATGCTATCTGTGCTGTGAATTCTGGTCAGCAGACTAAAGATCATAACTCAAATGACATAATTGTATACAAAACTTGAGATCTTCAACAAGTGCAACTGACAATTTGGCATCATAACTTACCAAAAACTATCAGTTGTGAATGCTAAAGTTTTTAGCTGACAAGAGGCCACAACTTATGTGCAGCAATTGATTCCAAAAGCCATGTGTGACCAATCACCTGGGAACCAACTTTGTTAGCCAATTCCTCTGCTTCGTTTAGTCTCTTCCAAATTATTGAAACCTCTTCTCCTAATTGGCATCCTTGTGGGGAATCAAGGTTATAAACAATTAGTATCTTAGAACAAGCTCCATTGTCATCTTTTGCTTGTGCCAGCAATTCTACCTCACTCTTCCAAACAAATCCTCCCGCACCAATAACCAAACTATGAAGATCTTCCTTAAAACCCGAAATGAAGTCACCAGCAAAATAGAAACTTAAGCCATCAAAGAGCTTTGATGCCTGAAAAGGAAAGGGAATAAGACTTACAAAGAGACCACACAAGTCATTAAGCATATAGCAGCAAATAGATGAAACAGAATTTCCTGCTAAGTGCAACTGTACAATTGCAAAAAACATGTAGATGAAAGAGATCAGATCCTGTCATATTGCATGAAAATTTTTTGTGAGACTTACCTTTTCCAACAGCGTAAGTCTGCCAGTTCTTGGGCCATCTTGACATCCATGATTGTCAAGACTAATTTCATAAGGCTCTTCATATACAGGATGCAAGGCTTCCATGCAAGCTTTTATCCCTGCAAGGGGCAATTAAAAGTTTTATTAACAATTGCAGATCAATGAAACAAACATAATATATCAACTCAGCAAATATTGAGAGAAAGTGTAAAAAACACAACATAGCAGTCATATATAAATCTTTCTAAAAGATCAACAAGAAAACTTTTATCAACATATCAAGGCAAAATTTTGTTCTGCCATGCAACTGTGTCCCACATGAGTAGAGGATCAAGAATTGCAACTTAATATTCCAAAAATATAAAACATAGTTTATCTTCCATGCAATCTCCAGACATCTGTGGAACCATGCAATGAATGTTGTAAAGAAAAGTAAAAAATTTAGGGAAAAAAGGTATCCAACAGGAAGCAATGCAAGATTCTCGGGCTAACTTACAGTCGATCTTAAGAACCCAACAACCATTCACAATGGCCATGAGAACTTTCAATGTCCTTGTGCATGCACCCTTTTCATCTGTGGCTGCAATCACATGTGTGACATCTGGCCTCCAGAACTTGGACACAGTTACACCAACCATGCTCCCAAACCTGACCAAAAGAATCTGCACCAGCGCAAGGGCACCAAAACTACATATTAGCAGGTTAAATAACAGAATACATCACAATTACTAATTGAAGCATGCCTTTCCAGCCACACAATTATGAAATACTTTTCACAAGAATATTGACAACATAGCACCCACAATGCAAACATTTTCTGTGATCCTAAGATTTTTTGCCCGTACATATATCAGGTGGCATTAATGATTGATGTTGCAACCAGTAACTGGCAGTCATTTCTGGGATCAAGTTGATTTAGATTATGCTTTAGAGGAATACAAATGGAAATAAATGTTTCCCAAGCTAATTTAGATAACAGAAATCAAGCTACATGAACTAACCTTTTCATCAGTAGACAAAGCAGATCCACATAAAACCCATTTTTTCGCTTTGTCAGGTGAGGCAGCCCAAAAGTTACACTGCTGTGGGGTTCTGCATGCAGACAAACATACCAATTTAGTACCTTAAAGCAGACCAAAGCATAATTATTTTTTGTGGATGACTAAATTTAACTCAAAACAAGTAGGTAAGACTTGTGCTTATAAATAAGAGTTCAGATCGTTGCACTTGCAATTTTCAATATTTCTTTCACCATATTTATATTATGCTTTCACCAATTGCCAATGCTAGACACTAGATACCAAAAAACATGAAACCATAGGGTTTCACTGCTTGGTAAATCCAGATAATAACCAACTATTTAAAGCTATCCAAGCAGTAAAATGTGCCAAAGTCTGATGAGTATTGAAAGAACAAGGAACAAGAATATACATTTGCAATGCAGGATCATTCTTTACAACACAGTTTCCAGACTTCTCATTTGGAAATTTGACTGAAGAGTGCACTGGACAGAGCAGAAGAAAGTCTTCCTGAAAGAAACCAAGGATAACAAGCATTACTTATTTTTGTTAACAAAAAGCTTGATTCATATCACAGAAAGAAAATAATTAGATTTCAAATCAAGCACTACACACAAATACCATGTAGATCAGCACAAAGCACTTACATCATCCCATCGACATTTGGGAATTTCCAGAGCACAGGGAAAATGATAACTTCTCCGACAAGATTTCATGTAGCAGCCTAGTGCTGCACCCTTTTTCCCACAAGCAGTGCATTTGAGCTTCGAACCCCTTGCCAATTCTGCTTTCAGATTCTTAATTGTCTCGCCATCATAATATACTTGTGGTGCCCTGAAATTTTAAATGTCACAATGTTCATGTCTTCCTCTAACAACAAATACAAACTGGCAGTATGCAGTTGAAATGAATCATTGTCATGCAAATCATTCTAAATAGCCTTGACTAGTTATTTTGAAGATAAGTGGATCTGATCTGTATTTTAAATTAAAGCCTACAGAAACATAATAAGCTGATATCATTGACTCACTTAAGCATCCTTAACTTTGAAGTGCCAAGATGACATACCAGTCAACGCATTTACTATGAACATGAATAACATTAGAACAGGCTGCTGCATCTCCCATTACTTGCTTCCCATTAGCATAATGCAACATGGAGCCAGTTGCCTGGAAACGTTCATTAAAATGTTAATAAAATAATTATGCTTATTATGCAAGCATAACATTATTAGTGATTTACCTCTGAGATTCTACTGGACTGGCAAAATCCACAAATAAATTTAATTGCATGAGAGCCATCTGAAATTGTAGGCAGTGTTGCACCCACGAGGGGTCCTCCAGATTTAGGTTCCAATTCAGTAGTTGAAGCCACCATGCTTTCACTTGGCAAAACCATTGATTGAATATTACCAGCATTTTTCACACCCATATCCTTGCAACTGTAGTTCAATTTCTTTTGTCTCTTGGGGTCCCTCAAATGACCTTCAATTTCAGAAGCAGAAAACCCATGTTCCAGTGTTGTACTAAAACTTTTCTTGATTGGCCTATTGGCTGGATAAGTTTCAGGACTCTGTAAAAACAATAAGGTCTATCCATAAGCTAAAGCATAGAAAAACTCATATTTGACACTGTTATCATAAATCACATTAAGTTCAAATAACTAAGAAAAAAAAATCCAAAATGTTTATCCTATAGGCAAAAGGCAGCATGCTACTCAACTACAAAATCTAACATTAATGATCTGATTAGTCCATGATAACAGAAGTATACCCAAGCTAAGCAATGAAAAAGCCAACAATATTTAACCCTGTACAAGTGCAAGCCACACAATGAGAAAAGAAAATCCATACAATTAATGCACATGCTCACTGCCGTGGTCAACCAAAAAGGCATCAATAGGAAGGCAACAATCATCAGATACTCACATGCTCACTTCCCTGGTCACTACTTTCATTGTCTGAACCCTTAATATTATCAAATGAAGGAGGACTGCCAAGCAATGTCTGTTCCACACGATTCATATCAATTTTCCCAGCTCCACACTCTTGAATGCCTTCACTCTGTATCCAGGTACTTGGCTGTGATGATACAGGACCTTGACCATTATAACATAAAATTGGTCCCTTACCAAGCATCTCAAATCCTTTACTTTTGCTACCTCCAACGTCATGATTATATGTAACTTGACCCAGCATATTTGCTGACACAGATTGGTCACTTGAATTATACTCTTGAGACGGGCATTGGTCCAAAACCCTCCCAGCAACTGCAATATTTGATTCACAGAACAGAATAACATAAAATACAGGAGGAAAAAAAAATTAAACAATGCATCAAACAAACAATGATATAAAAATTAAACCTACCAGAAGAAAGAGAATGATTCAGATTGGCCCCAGAAAAAGCATCTAATCCTTTAAAGATTGTCACTATACTTTCCACAAAATGCAAAGGCCTTAAATCTGCCAAACATATTACAACATTACAAAAGTTACTAGTGCTTATTTTCTTTTTGAATTGTACTTCAATCGTATCCAAGGATTTGATCAAGATCACAAATAAACAATAGTACCTGCTTCACGACATTCAAATTTACATAAAGGGCACTCTAAACCAAACCGTGCTAATCTGGGCATACATGAACTGCAGGGAATTCATTAAAGATAATTCAAAATACAACACTTATTTTTCCCATAAAAAATCTAGAATAAAAATAATTCCATATGAAGACAAAGGGCAAGTTACATACTTGCAAAATACGTGATCACAAGGCAGCAACAATGGTCTATTAAATAGGTTTAAGCTGCAAGGAATTAACATCATTATTTAGTTTAAGATTTATAATTTCCATAACCTTAAACATCCAAACAAAATACAAAACCCAAGGTTGCCATATCCACATTTCAGGAATTTGCCCTAGACCGTCCATGTAAACCCTAAATGTGAATAAATCAGCGGTAACTAGATCTTAAAACAGTGAAAAACTAAACAAACAAGGGACATAATTAATTGACATATGCTGTAAGGGCACCACTAAGATCAGTGCATCATGAACTCGTATCAAAGCACAAAAATTCTTGGCTAAAAAATATCTGTTAACCATGCACCGTGGCGGAAATAATAAAAAATTAAGAAGAAAATAAATAAATTGATAAATACAAACCAGAGAGGGCATTTGAGTTCGAGACCAAGCTTCTGAACGTGAAGTACCCACGGATTTAAGGCTCGGCGGCCCGCCTTAGTAGACTCCGCCATTGTTAGGAAGCGCCTGAAGTCGAATGAAAGAGGAATGAAAACGAAAACAGTAAAAAAAATGTTTAGAGTGTAGTGGGAACGGAGATTATTATAGAGTGGTGAGTGAGACCGTTTTCTGGTTGGAAGAAAGGTGAGATGGAGACACGTGGAGGGGTGGGATTTGGTTTTGAGGAATAAGCGGAAAGCGGTAAATGAGATTTGATTCAAGGAGCCAAAAGGACCAATTAACCAAAACTTGATTTTGAAATTCGCGCGCGTTTTATTTAATGGTTGTGAGGAACTCCCGCCAGCACGCTTTTTTTTGTTATTCCAAAGGAATATGGATATATCATGTTGTATTTTACTATTTTCACAAAAATAAAAACCAACATAGACAACAAACGAAAATGTGAACATACACATTTTTTCTTTTTTAGATTAATTTCCTTAGGAGACAAAACTTTAATCATATACATAATTTAATAAATTTGTTGATGCTTAATTTTGACATCAACTATTCGCACGTGAAAAATGTTAAGCTGGCTTAGAAGTCACACGCGATATGAGAATATTTAGTTGAATAATGAGTGACAGGTAATGTTTAAAGTGGTTCGGATGTTTAAAAATGAATCATACGTCCACTGATGTTGTATTCATGAGAATAAGGTCAAGTAGTGTTCAACGAGCTGAGTTACAGCTTAAAGGATATAAAAGATAGAGAGAGAGAGAGAGTAAGCTATTTTAAAGTGAAATTAGTCAATCCTGCAAATGAAATAGGAGTCCCCTATTTATAGTGGGATGAATCAAGGTAATGATTACTAAATCTGTAAATGGATGGGTATTGTGTAAATCTTTCTCTGCATCCTATTGTTCACCTACCTGAGTGATTTCCTCGATTTGTGCAGGGTTTAGACACATGGACGATTTTCAACCATCCGCTAACCTGACATTTACCCACTGCACTGACAGAGGCATGTCACTCACGTCATCATGCGACATGGTTGCGTCATAATGCGCGTGGCTACGTCTGAACGGTCGTGGAACCTTCCTAAGTTTTGACCACCCCATGTTAACAAGATTCCGCGTCAACCTTACTTTTTTAGGCATAACAAAATTATTTCACTATATTTATATCATTAATATTTAAAATTTTGTATTTAAGTAGTATTAATCTATACTTTACATTAAAAAATACCATGAAAGAGAAACTTGCCATTATATTTTTTTCATCTATATATATATATATATATATATGGTATTTTATTATTTTCGGAATATGTTGTACATAATCTCGTAGTGGATACGGTTTCAGAATAAAAAAACAATCACTTGAAAAAATTTCAATTAGTATACAACTGCGGAACCCAAAAATATGAAAGAGTAACAGGGTCAAACAATAAGAAAGATAAAAAAAATAAAATATTAAAATTATTTATTACAAAGTTGATGAAATTTTTTATTTTACATAGAATAATGCTATGCGTACTCACGATCTTACTAACCATCTTACTAACCTTTGTTAAAAATTGTATATGGTACTCGTACAATACTTGTGGTATCCGTATTATACTATATATTTACAAAGGTTAGTAAGATCGTAAGTACGCATAGTATTATTGTTTTATATATTAAAAATTGGTTAGTTTTTCATATTGAACTTATAATGATTAACTAGTACTTCTGCCAAAAGGAATGTGTGACCAGTTATTGAGGTAAGAAATTCAAAAGACATGATTTTGTGTCTTAAGTAACTTTATTTTCTATGATCACATGTTTTTATAATTTTCATATTATATTAAAAGAACTAAAAATAAAAATTAAGATCTCAAATTTATGCAAATAAATAATCGTATGTCGTAGTTCACAGATAATTGTTTGCAATTTTAGAATTTCTGTTTGCCTGTGTCACAATCTTCCATGAAACCAAGGCATTCATCTCTCTTCAGAGATCCTTCCATCTTTGTCTTGTAGTGGGGCATAATCTTCTGTTTAAGTGACTTCAAATCCTAACAATTCTATTTCTGCATCATCTCCTTGCTTGCTGATAAAAAATTCAGTTGCATTAGGTTCATTGCTTGCCTTTTCCTCCCTTACTTCAGAAGCTTCAACAACGCCCTCAAGGGGGTTGGATTCTGTATCCAATGTCACTTTGTATCACTGGCAACTTCTGATGCATCTGTGGACACTTCAGAATCCTCTGAAGAACCTCTATCATCATCCTGGAAAGAGTCAGTTACATAATTTATTTGGTTTTCATCTCCTAAATCTACACTATCATCATCTTGTTTTTCTCCTGTACCATCATCAAGAGATTTCAGTTCCCGAATCTCCATTAGCCTTTGAATTGCTTCTGCAGAATTCTTGATCCATCCATCATCATTAACATCCCTGCACAAAAGACTTGTTAAGTAAATAAATGGTTTCTTCGGAGCAAATCAATTTAAAAAGCAAGCATGAAATTTTGGCAAAAGTTATATAATAAAATGATTGAATGTGAAGCCAAAGAGGCTTGTAAGTTGTGACTTATCTATGAAAAGTTAAAAACAATTACAGAACTATAACTAACAAAAATTTCAATCTACAAATTCCTTAAAGATGGTTCAGATATTGATAAAAGAACATTATTTTTAAGATTTATCAGAACAAATCATCAATAAAGCAAATTATAGCATATTACCTTCTAGGATCCAGTCCTGCCGAAATAAAAGCTGAATTCATGAGATCCACAAGGACTGAGGGGTTGTTGGAGAAATACCCTCCATGCTTTGCGATTTCGACAAGGAAATGAATGTCGAATACAAACTGTCCCAATAACAATGAACATGAGATAATGGATGCAACACATGCCTCATTAAAATGCGACTGAAAGTTATTACGCCTAACTAATATTTACATGCGAGGTGACTAAAATTTATGTAGAATATACTGAAAAAGATTAGGATTAAGTATAGAAGTTTGCCTCCAATACGGAAATGGATTTGTTATAAAGCTTTATTCTGACGAAAGCAATGGCACATTACTAGATAGAATTCTTCTTTGACTAAGATCGGATATTCAGCAAATTCATGAAAGAAAAGCATGTTTAAACAAAATTATGGTCAATTTTCCTATCCAGAAGCTCACTGGAAACACAGATGTGTCTTCTCCAGCCCAGTTCCGGAGTCTAAATTACAGATTCCATGTAAATATACTCACTCAGCAGGTTGGACAATTAAAATATAACAATAAAAGGGGTAAACAGGTAGAAGAAAAGTACGAATAAGGCAGCAAACATAAAATATATGAATGAACAGAAGAAAGCAATTCCAATACAAATATAACAAGATTTAGTTCCAGAAATTCTTAAAGCCAATAATAACAATATATACCTGATTGAAAACATAAGAATTTTGGCCAGTCAAATTTTTTTCAATGGGTGCCCAGATCTGTTTGTTGCTTGAAATCCAATCAAATATGGCCTCTATTAGTTCCCTCAGCAGCTCGTTGAACCAATCCAGTTCAAAAGCATTGTCTTCGGCAAGTTTGTTTAATGCTCTTAGCTCTAAAAACAAAACCTGATCATTGCACAAACAAATCAATGAGCCGCTTTTTACCCAAATATTAATGCAGTAAGTATCTCTCTACTGGTGGATGTTCATAAACTAATACATATAAAGCCTTAGGACTCCTTTTTCATTATTTCCCTTTCAATCTAACAAATCAATGAATCTGTCTCTTAATTTTACATGTTTATTATGCATTGAATACGGAAATTAACATTTTTTCATCTCTAAGTACAATTTTCTGATCACCATGTGCAGAAGATTATCAAATTAAGACAACTTCAGCAGCTTTTCTATTGGAATAAGTATGAAACATGTAAACACTTTATAAGAAGGCTTCCCAAGAGTTCCAAGTATGAAGATATACATCATTCTGACTTAGCGATGTTAATTTTTTATATTTATTTTCCATTTGTGTATAATTCTTCCTCCTTTTAAGTTCTAATCAAGAGTTTAAGGATCACAGCAAGACTTTTACAAAAGTAAGGAATTTGTACTGATCTCTAAAAGAAGCAGATACCTGAAAGACGTGAGAGGGCATCACATCAGGCAACATGTCATGATTAACAGCATTATCAGTGCAAGCTTCTGGTATACTTCCAAGACCACTTTGGAGAGACATCATTCTATATAATGATTTCTGGCAGAAATGAAATCTGAGCTGATCGCTAGCTGCTTGGATGAACTTTAAACAACTATTAAGTTCTCTCTGTTGAAAGCCAACCAATTCATTGATGTCCCTAAAGATGCTTCTAACAGTGCCAGAGAAGAAATGTTGTAATGTTGATAGATTAGCCAGAACAGAAACCTGTTGTGGCAGTGACTCTGCCAAATTTATCCTGGCACCTCCTTTCTCTGAGTCACTAGTTTCACAGGTGATGACTTTTTCAAGGATGCCAATATATTCTGTAAAAAGGTCCATGAGTCCTCTGAGGATAGAACCTTCCATTTGAAGTGAAACTAAAGGGATAACATCAGCAGTGATAGTCTGAAGAAGAAGAAAGGATATGAAAAGAAGTGAGTTACATGAAAGAACGTAAACACTGCCTAGTAGTTTACATTTTGAATTTACGTTTTGCTTATAGAAATTAAGAGACTTTGTTCTCACAATTAATTGAAAGCAAATCAAACAAACCTGCAACAGCGTTATAAACTTCCGGCCACTGTTAGTGAGCAAGCAATATTCTGGTTGTTGCCCAACAACAACTGAAGATCCCTCTTCATTCAAGATTCTTGACACAATATATCTACCCAAAACCCAGGCATCAGTTGCTGTAAAGATAACAATTACTTTCTTAAAATGGTCTATATGTATCTGTACAACTTCTTCCATACAAGGCCGAATTTCCTTGATCAAACATGGCCGCAAAACTAATCGGTGAGATTCTAACAAAGTGCAAATTGACATTGCAAACTGTACAGCTTCTACTGCTGTGGACAATCCACCACTCATTTCTGAGATGGGCTTAACATACTTGTTAAAATAAGCAACAAACACTTCAGTTTCCTCACAGGCCCACTGAATAAGTTCTGAAGCATAAGGTGAAGTTTCCCCATATAGCATTGCAAAACTCCTTGCAGCTTGAGAAATCATAGAAAATACAAACTTTGCTAGCTCCCTAATGTATACCCCATGTAAATATGATTTTGAACCCTGCAAATTATGTATTCCAGTTGCAATACGTGAATGATAATATTTAAGCAATAACTGAGTTGCAAGATGGCTATCACCCAGTCTACAAACTTGAACTAGTGTCTTTTGAAGTTCTGGTGCAGATATTCTGGGATTTTCAGCCATCAATGTCAACTGTAGCATGAGCATATCCCTCTTTTCAGAAATTGCAGAGTCATATAACAGTAACACATCGGATTCATCATAATTGTCATCATACTGTAGTCTCTGAAAATTCTCATCCTCCATTTCTAAAATGTTCATGGCTTCATCAATTCTATTTTCTGCCAGGAGAATGCCCATGGCTTCTGATAAATCACCAATGTGAGCCTCCAATTCGCTTGGGACAGATGGCTCAGCAATTACAGATTCCTCAATGATCGATTCAATTGACTCTTTTGACAAAGCCTTTAAATATATGTCATCTATAAGGTTATTTACAAGTCTTTTCTGATGATTAACTTGGGATTTTAGTTGCATCAGTTGGTCTTCCACACCTTCTACTTCCTCAAATACTCTGCACAGAAAATGGCATATCCATTCTATATGTTTTAGATTATAAACCAAAATGATTTTACATGGACACTTAGAGTTTCTAGATATAATTCAAAAACAATATCCGAAAAATAGGGGAAGAAATATCAGTTGAAAACTCTAATAAACTGATGCAGATCGATGATGCTAACTATACAGAGTCAAAACATAAATAAGAAGAAAATATTGGTACATTACCTAACAAAAGCCGCATAGTTTAAAAAGATATTCCTGTGAAAATCTTCATCTGATTCCGCCTTTAACTCAAGCAATTCTAAACAAAGATGTTTTATCCCCTATGACCAACACCACATAACAAGAATGCACCAACAAACCAAAATCAACTCATATCTACTACAGATACATCTCAAGGAAAAACAAAAGAAAGAAAGAAAATTACCTTTGCAGTCATCGATTGGAGCTCAGATTCGTCATCAGGATCGGAGGAAATATCGGAACTGGTGCTGGACTGCTCCGAGTTCTCCAATAGTTGGTGATCTCTGAACCGGAATCTTGATGACGTGGAAGACTTTTCCATGGAAATTGATTGCGAGCGACATCCAATGGAGGAGAGTTGAACTGAAAAGGTACGGTTTCAGCTCTCTGACGTCTTTTTGCGCTATTGTTTCCTTCGGAAAACTTTGGTTTCTTCGTTCAATTGAAAACTAAGCCAATCAGAATCAACGTTTTGTTTTCGCTCACTCGTCGTTTTGTTCTACGCTGTTGTACCAATGGCGCCGTTACTATTTTATTGAAAGGATAAATCCTTTCTTACAAATAAGTTTACAAAGTAACTTACAAAGTGAAGAAAAAAACAAAAGAAAAACAGAAAAAAAGAAAGAGAGAGAGAGAAATGATGAAGATGAAGGGTGAAGATTAACTTTGTATGCCTCCTTTGTAGGTTTCTTTGTAAGAATAGCAACTCCCTTATTGAAATGGCTTTACTTGATTTGAATGTATTCTTTTGTTAGATTATAGAGAACGTCTTGCTCCACCCAAATAATGGCTTATAACATATTTTTATCAACAAATTTTTTAAATATTATTTTATTATTTAAATATATATTTTGATAGCAAACAGAGTAAATTCAGTTCAAGCTATTAGAGCTTTTGAAGAAGGGAAGATAATGAATTTTTTAGTTGTGAGAGGTTATATTTTAATTGTTAAGATTGATCAGAATTTGACTTGAAATAACAACTATATAAACCCTAATAGCTCAATTGTTAGTGATTAGTGGGGTCGACGGGAGTAAAGTTTGAGGGGTTTTAGTGAATAATGACTAGGAAAAAAAATAGTAGTGGTATTGGATCGCAATGATATCAGAATCGAAAATGAAATATAAATTTTGGTAATAAAATGGTATTTTAAAAATATATGGGTGAAAAAGTGTCATTAAACTATTATTTGAGTGTAAAAAAGTAGTTTACGACTAAAATATTATTCTCGTTTGATTTATTTAGAAAGAAGTCGCATAATACATGATTAATTTATCCATCTCAAATTTGTTTGCAGTGAACCCAACCATTTCGGGGCAAGAAACCCGTGTAACTAGGCCACCCAGCTAAAATGTGTTGTTTACTGATTGTTGACAAGCGTAAAAAGAAAGTGTCATCTAAAATAGGTGATTATAGGTATCAATTTCAAACAAATAAACTATATGTTGATGAATTAAGAGCTATGTTCAAATGTTACCACATAGGTAATACGACATAACCCCTGTATTATCTTTACCAACAAAAGAATTTAAGATTTGCCTTTTTGGTGTTGGAAAAGAAAAAAAGGCAATCAACAATGTGAAGTCCAAAATTGAGTACAACATGTATATTAAGGAAATCAAATAAAATAATGTCATAATTCAACACTTCTAGATATCCAATCAAATCTTGTATTAAATGAGCTACCCCTTTCTATCAACTTTTCGCTGGTCCAACTCCAAATCAATAAAACCAAAGTCCTAAACGGTACCGTCTTTACAGATCACATAAAAGCGAATCATGATTATGTTGTCCACGAACGAAACGAAGAAAGGGCATTCTAGGAAGTAAAAGATTTTTCATGGCACAGAGGTCAGAAACCACCAAACTTCCTCTCTCCCAACTGATGGTCAGAACAAACTCCGCTCTTCCAATGAGAGTTCTACCACGTCGTTTAGTCTCGGTCTCCGTTGTCGTCATCCTCATTCTCCTTTTAACTCTCCGTAAAACCTCCGCAAACGATGGAGGCGAGTTCAGCGGAGACTACTCTAAGTTATCAGGAATCATTATACCAGGTTTCGCCTCCACTCAGCTTAGAGCATGGTCGATCCTCGACTGTCCCTACTCTCCTCTTGATTTCAATCCTCTCGACCTCGTCTGGCTTGACTCAACCAAAGTAAATTTTCACCATTATAACTGCTCTGTTCACTCTTTTGTTGTTTGTATTGTTCTTTCTAATTGTGTTTATCATATGGTTTGCTTGCGTATTGCTACTTTATGTTGCTTGTTCACATTCGTCAGAACTCTCGTGTAAAGATGAACAGTTTAGAAAGATTCATAATCCTATTTTGTCTTTCCATTGTTTGTGTCACTTGAAATTAATTGATCATATTCTTCAATAATTTTTTGTTTTTGCATTTCCCTCTTTTCGCCTTTTTAGTTATGGTGTTGTTCTTAGACATTTTACGTGAGGTTAATCAGATAGGCATAAGTGCAGACGTTTTAAGTTTGTCACTATAATTCTGTTTGTGTAGAGAGTAGATGTGAGGCCAGATGTAACTTAGACGTTATGATGAATTCTCAACAACATTAACTTAGAAGAGTTGTTTAGTAAAAGAGGTGGTGATAAATTGTACTGCGTGAACCGACAGTTTCTCTTCATGTGTCACGCAGCTTCTATCTGCTGTGAACTGCTGGCTTAAGTGCATGATACTAGATCCTTACAATCAAACAGATCATCCTGAATGCAAATCTCGGCCAGATAGTGGTCTTTCAGCGATTACAGAACTTGATCCAGGCTATATAACAGGTAATCTTCTATTCTGCATTCCATTTTGCTAATTTTTCTGCTTGCAATATGTGTGTGGGGTAATTTGATTTTTTTTTTTTCTTTTTTCCTCAGATTTTTGGTGTGATGACATGTTTAACTAAAACTTGCTGCATGGTTTCAGGTCCTCTATCTTCTGTATGGAAAGAATGGATTAAGTGGTGCATTGAGTTTGGTATCGAAGCTAATGCAATCATTGCTGTTCCATATGATTGGAGATTGTCACCATCAAAGCTTGAAGAGCGAGACCTATATTTTCACAAGCTAAAGTTTGTATAATTCCTACATATATATCTTTAATGCATACTGTTGTTTGTAGCTATAGGAAACACCTTAAGATATATTTGCTTGTTTGCTACAACATATATGTTAGTCTAATCAAAGTACATTCTGCTACTGAATTGAAACATGTGACACTGATTATGAAATTAGTTCAAATCGAACAATTGTCTTTCCTCATTTGGACCCAAAAACAAGATTTGAGCAACGGAACTTGTTCTAATTGTCCATAAAGCTTTTGTTTATATATTTTTATTTACCTTGTCCCACATTTTGACCAATTCCTCCTGATGCAAGAAGATATGATACATCATATGGTTGTTTCCTGAGAATTGAAATTGAATTGAATGTTGATTATGGTGACACTGGTTAATTGTTGTTACATCTCTAAAACACAGAAAAGAACAACAGCGTTTTTCTACTGAAATGAAAATGCTTAAGTTGAAGTTTTAAGTATATGTCGTTGATACTGATGTCAACGAATACTTTTTGTTGTAAGAATAAATTTAAGAATACTAAAGTCCTGATTATGTTAATCTTCTGTCCTTAAATTGTGTTACAAACGTGGATTTCAAGTGTTTGAATGAAGATGCTTAGAGTTTCCAAATATTTTGTTGTCATTACAGGTTGACATTAGAAACTGCCTTGAAACTTCGTGGTGGCCCTTCATTAGTGTTTGCCCATTCAATGGGTAACAATGTGTTCCGTTACTTTCTGGAGTGGTTAAAGCTAGAAATTGCTCCAAAACATTATGTGCAGTGGCTGGATGAACATATTCATGCCTATTTTGCTGTTGGTATGATTGATTTACATCAAATGTATTTTCCGAGAAGGCAGAGTTGCTTGGGGTGATGATATATGCCATTTATTTGGCTATATTTTGTTTTCTTGATTCCAGGATCTCCTTTTCTTGGTGCAACTGAGATAGTTAAAGCAGCACTCTCTGGTCTTACGTTTGGTCTTCCTATTTCTGAGGTTTTCTTTTTAGATTTTACTTCTACTAGTTTCAATTTTGTTTGATAACTTGATGGTCTATTTTCCTTTTTCAACATGTATTTTTTTTTAATTGGAAACAAAAAAAGTTACTTCTCCAACATGTAATTGTGTTTTGCTTTTGATTTAACAAATTACTAGCTTGACCTTTTTCATTATCTTTTAATTATACCCCTCAGCATGAAATTTTTGAAAAGAAAGTTGCTTTAGTCTGTAGTTTAAGGTGTCTTGACATAGCAGCTAGCTTGTCTGGGATTTAGTAACCTAACTTGCTTTGTTGGATGTTAAGTGGAACTGTCATTATGGTTGAGTACCAAAATGTTTTTGGGGGTTCAAATGTTTATCTCCCTATGTTGTGAAATATTTTACTATTCTGTTTGCATTAAATTAGGTTATTTACAGTTTAGTTTAATTTAAATTGAACCAATGTGAGTTTTGCTAGTTTGTTCAAAGTTGGTGGAATTTATATTTATCTGGTGCTCTTGGTTTGGTTGCCCATTAACATATGGATGATATTAAATTTGGCAAGGTATCAGGGAACAGCTCGATTGATGTCCAATTCATTTGGTTCTACATTATGGATGATGCCATTTTCAAAGCATTGTAAAGGAGATAACACTTACTGGAAGCATTTTTCTGGGAATACCAGAAAGGGTCATCACACGTATCAGTGTGATGTGCAGGAGTTTCAGTTAAACTACTCTGGATGGCCGACTAATATAGTCAATGTTGAAATTCCTTCAGTACGTGGTAAGACTTTGGGCTCTTTTAAGAATGATTTTATGAGTAGAATGTTGTTATCTTGCTTATATGCTCTGTTTACCTCTTATATCAGCAGGATTTGGTGCCTATCCATCAATTTCAGAAATTGCTGATACCAACTTGTCGAGCATGGAATGTGGACTCCCTACTCAACTATCCTTCTCTGCTCGCGAAGTATCAGATGGTACCTTTTTCAAATCGATACAGGATTATGACCCAGAAAGCGAAAGGCTCTTGTATCGATTAGACAAGTGGGTGTGCTCTTACTAATAGTTAATTCAGTTTGTTATACTTTATTTGTCAACTCTCTAGTGTGAAAGATCAAAGTATAAGATTTTCCCTTTTATTTACCCTGGTCACGGAAGAATCCACTTATCTTCTGAGCAACATTTTGGTGAACCCCAAGATTACATCTTTTGCTTGAGCTCAACAACTTCATTTTATTTTTATAATCATTGTTACTTACTTTTTGGGAGGTTACTATATCAGATGCTCAGTATCCATGCTAGTAATCAGCTATAGTTTTTGGCTCCTCTCACTCCAATTCTGAGGTGCCCTCTGCTTCTTAATGGGAGAGAGGATTATAATGGTGTTGGATACCTTTTTGTCTTTTCTGGAAGGAAGGATATTCATGATTAACACCCCTCATTGGAGTTGCAGTCCCTAGGTGCAATTCTGCTACGTGAATTTTGTACTGGAAGAAAAAAATTATCTAGGACCTGAATTGTATTTTATAGTTGCCATATAGAAGCTTTCCACAACTTTTATGTTGTTGTTTTATTACAACTGTTTCACATTGATTTGCATTTATGCCATGCACAAAGATATATCCAGGCAAAGAAACTATTTTCAAATGTTTCATTCACAATCTGTGGTCGTATTTTGGTGATTTAATTCTATAATAAAAATTTCTGTTTCTACTACTTCTCTTTCTTGACATTTTTGGAGTGATATCGAATGTAAAAGATGTGTTTTATTCTGCTTTCTAACATACCTGTGTTTGCAATGCTTTGTTTTTCAGGTCATATCATGGCGATCCTGTTCTAAATCCTCTCACACCTTGGGAGAGACCACCTATAAAAAATATTTTTTGCATCTATGGAATAGACTCAAAGACTGAGGTAAACTGCATTTTCCAAATAGATATGATATTGTAATTGTCTTGGACGCTTCATTGTTTATAACTTTAAAATTTGGATGATGGGTTGTGATATAATATATATGTTTTGGCCTTCATATTATTTTCCTTAATTGAAACAAGTTGCAAAGTAATTTATCTTTGAGTCATAAAAGATGGCGAGGCTTCAGTGAGGAATATATTTTTCTGTATACTATGTGCCATTCTGCTTATGATTGGTTATTTAAAAATGGATATCCAGTTTCAATATGTAGCTTTGTGGAGTCTATCAAGGATTTATCTACTTGTTTGGTTCTGAAGGAGTTACAGAGTGTGTACTGGACCACAGGTTTTGTGGTCATTATTGGTCATATTTTTTGCACATCATTTACAAATCCATTTCTTTATATTTTCCTTTATGACTGACAAGTATGTTGCTTGCCATGCTATGTTTAGATTATAGCCTTCTTGTGGTGAATGATAGTTCTGTATTCTTGGCAATGGGAAATCAGGTGGGATACTACTTTGCACCAAGTGGCAAGCCTTACCCTGATAATTGGATCATAACAGATGTCATTTATGAGATTGAAGGATCTCTGTTCTCAAGGTAAGTATCATCCGTACAGGATCTATACACATACCATAACATAAAGAAGAATTTCTTGATAGTATCGACCAGAGTACTCTTACATTTTTATTATCCAGCAAAATACTCTACATCCTTGAGCATATGTATAAAATCTCATGTGAAATACAATGTTCTATGTCCTTTTCCAATAGGAAACTCATGGAAGAAATACTAATACTAATTGCAGCTGCATGATTAATACTTAATTATTTATGCTTTAAATTTAACTGCCAATGTGCTTTTGAAAGCTCAATCAAGTGATTAGACAATGATTCTACCTGTGCTCATGATTTCATCTTCTACACAAACAATTATGAATTTTGAAAATTTTTGTATAAATGAATGTCATATTAGATTATGAGAGTAGAAAATACACCACTCTCCTTGCTTCTTTTAATATGGAACTTTCTTCTAGACATCTGGTGCTGTGAATTGTTTACTACTAAAATTTCTGCCTGTATTATTTTCTTTGTATCCATTCCTATTTATGCTTAGTTGCTTTGTAGAATCGGTGATATCACCTGTAACTTTTCCATTAGTAAACAGCATACCAATTTTCCATTTCAGTAACTTGAACTTGTATATTGGAAATAGATATGAATGTATAATACATTATATATTTAATACTCAAAACAGCCTTGTTGTGAAAGTTGCTTGTGGGTTAAGCAGAGTTGTACCAATATGTAAAGCATACTAGAATCAGTCACTCTGTAAGTGGTAACATACATTTCTGTATTGATCTGGGGCAGGTCAGGGAATCAAGTTGAAGGAAATCCAGGAAGAGCAAGTGGAGATGAGACGGTAAGCCTAAGAAATTGAACTCTTTATTGTTCCTTCAATCATTAATTTTATCTAAGATTCCTGGCATCATTTTATGATTAGCTATATACTTTTCCAAACTGCATATATGCATTAAGTTTCAGTAAATACAGATATTTCTGTTACAGGTACCATACAATTCTCTCTCTTGGTGTAAGAGTTGGCTTGGACCAAAAGTAAACATAACTAGGGCTCCTCAGGTCCAGGATCTCCTTTTCTTGGTGCAACTGAGATAGTTAAAGCAGCACTCTCTGGTCTTACGTTTGGTCTTCCTGTTTCTGAGGTTTTCTTTTTAGATTTTACTTCTACTAGTTTCAATTTTGTTTGATAACTTGATGGTCTATTTTCCTTTTTCAACATGTATTATTTTTTTTTTTTATTGGAAACAAAAAAAGTTACTTCTCCAACATGTAATTGTGTTTTGCTTTTGATTTAACAAATTACTAGCTTGACCTTTTTCATTATCTTTTAATTGTACCCCTGAGCATGAAATTTTTGAAAGGAAAGTTGCTTTAGTCTGTAGTTTAAGGTGTCTTGACATAGCAGCTAGCTTGTCTGGGATTTAGTAACCTAACTTGCTTTGTTGGATGTTAAGTGGAACTGTCATTATGGTTGAGTACCAAAATGTTTTTGGGGGTTCAAATGTTTATCTCCCTATGTTGTGAAATATTTTACTATTCTGTTTGCATTAAATTAGGTTATTTACAGTTTAGTTTAATTTAAATTGAACCAATGTGAGTTTTGCTAGTTTGTTCAAAGTTGGTGGAATTTATATTTATCTGGTGCTCTTGGTTTGGTTGCCTATTAACATATGGATAATATTAAATTCGGCAAGGTATCAGGGAACAGCTCGATTGATGTCCAATTCATTTGGTTCTACATTATGGATGATGCCATTTTCAAAGCATTGTAAAGGAGATAACACTTACTGGAAGCATTTTTCTGGGAATACCAGAAAGGGTCATCACACATATCAGTGTGATGTGCAGGAGTTTCAGTTAAACTACTCTGGATGGCCGACTAATATAGTCAATGTTGAAATTCCTTCAGTACGTGGTAAGACTTTGGGCTCTTTTAAGAATGATTTATGAGTAGAATGTTGTTATCTTGCTTATATGTTCTGTTTACCTCTTATATCAGCAGGATTTGATGCCTATCCATCAATTTCAGAAATCGCTGATACCAACTTGTCGAGCATGGAATGTGGACTCCCTACTCAACTATCCTTCTCTGCTCGTGAAGTATCAGATGGTACCCTTTTCAAATCGATACAGGATTATGACCCAGAAAGCAAAAGGCTCTTGTATCGATTAGAAAAGTGGGTGTGCTCTTACTAATAGTTAATTCAGTTTGTTATACTTTATTTGTCAACTCTCTAGTGTGAAAGATCAAAGTATAAGATTTTCCCTTTTATTTACCCTGGCCACGGAAGAATCTACTTATCTTCTGAGCAACATTTTGGTGAACCCCAAGATTACATCTTTTGCTTGAGCTCAACAACTTCATTTTATTTTTATAATCATTGTTACTTACTTTTTTGGAGGTTACTATATCAGATGCTCAGTATCCATGCTAGTAATCAGCTATAGTTTTTGGCTCCTCTCACTCCAATTCTGAGGTGCCCTCTGCTTCTTAATGGGAGAGAGGATTATAATGGTGTTGGATACCTTTTTGTCTTTTCTGGAAGGAAGGATATTCATGATTAACACCCCTCATTGGAGTTGCAGTCCCTAGGTGCAATTCTGCTACGTGAATTTTGTACTGGAAGAAAAAAATTATCTAGGACCTGAATTGTATTTTATAGTTGCCATATAGAAGCTTTCCACAACTTTTATGTTGTTGTTTTATTACAACTGTTTCACATTGATTTGCATTTATGCCATGCACAAAGATATATCCAGGCAAAGAAACTATTTTCAAATGTTTCATTCACAATCTGTGGTCGTATTTTGGTGATTTAATTCTATAATAAAAATTTCTGTTTCTACTACTTCTCTTTCTTGACATTTTTGGAGTGATATCGAATGTAAAAGATGTGTTTTATTCTGCTTTCTAACATACCTGTGTTTGCAATGCTTTGTTTTTCAGGTCATATCATGGCGATCCTGTTCTAAATCCTCTCACACCTTGGGAGAGACCACCTATAAAAAATATTTTTTGCATCTATGGAATAGACTCAAAGACTGAGGTAAACTGCATTTTCCAAATAGATATGATATTGTAATTGTCTTGGACGCTTCATTGTTTATAACTTTAAAATTTGGATGATGGGTTGTGATATAATATATATGTTTTGGCCTTCATATTATTTTCCTTAATTGAAACAAGTTGCAAAGTAATTTATCTTTGAGTCATAAAAGATGGCGAGGCTTCAGTGAGGAATATATTTTTCTGTATACTATGTGCCATTCTGCTTATGATTGGTTATTTAAAAATGGATATCCAGTTTCAATATGTAGCTTTGTGGAGTCTATCAAGGATTTATCTACTTGTTTGGTTCTGAAGGAGTTACAGAGTGTGTACTGGACCACAGGTTTTGTGGTCATTATTGGTCATATTTTTTGCACATCATTTACAAATCCATTTCTTTATATTTTCCTTTATGACTGACAAGTATGTTGCTTGCCATGCTATGTTTAGATTATAGCCTTCTTGTGGTGAATGATAGTTCTGTATTCTTGGCAATGGGAAATCAGGTGGGATACTACTTTGCACCAAGTGGCAAGCCTTACCCTGATAATTGGATCATAACAGATGTCATTTATGAGATTGAAGGATCTCTGTTCTCAAGGTAAGTATCATCCGTACAGGATCTATACACATACCATAACATAAAGAAGAATTTCTTGATAGTATCGACCAGAGTACTCTTACATTTTTATTATCCAGCAAAATACTCTACATCCTTGAGCATATGTATAAAATCTCATGTGAAATACAATGTTCTATGTCCTTTTCCAATAGGAAACTCATGGAAGAAATACTAATACTAATTGCAGCTGCATGATTAATACTTAATTATTTATGCTTTAAATTTAACTGCCAATGTGCTTTTGAAAGCTCAATCAAGTGATTAGACAATGATTCTACCTGTGCTCATGATTTCATCTTCTACACAAACAATTATGAATTTTGAAAATTTTTGTATAAATGAATGTCATATTAGATTATGAGAGTAGAAAATACACCACTCTCCTTGCTTCTTTTAATATGGAACTTTCTTCTAGACATCTGGTGCTGTGAATTGTTTACTACTAAAATTTCTGCCTGTATTATTTTCTTTGTATCCATTCCTATTTATGCTTAGTTGCTTTGTAGAATCGGTGATATCACCTGTAACTTTTCCATTAGTAAACAGCATACCAATTTTCCATTTCAGTAACTTGAACTTGTATATTGGAAATAGATATGAATGTATAATACATTATATATTTAATACTCAAAACAGCCTTGTTGTGAAAGTTGCTTGTGGGTTAAGCAGAGTTGTACCAATATGTAAAGCATACTAGAATCAGTCACTCTGTAAGTGGTAACATACATTTCTGTATTGATCTGGGGCAGGTCAGGGAATCAAGTTGAAGGAAATCCAGGAAGAGCAAGTGGAGATGAGACGGTAAGCCTAAGAAATTGAACTCTTTATTGTTCCTTCAATCATTAATTTTATCTAAGATTCCTGGCATCATTTTATGATTAGCTATATACTTTTCCAAACTGCATATATGCATTAAGTTTCAGTAAATACAGATATTTCTGTTACAGGTACCATACAATTCTCTCTCTTGGTGTAAGAGTTGGCTTGGACCAAAAGTAAACATAACTAGGGCTCCTCAGGTATTGAAGGCGGTGCAGCAAATAATTTTTGTGTGTGTGTGTGTGCATGCATGCGTGCATGCTTGGGTGGGCTTTGCCTTTTCTTCTTTTAATGACTTTCAGTACTAGGGAGTAGGGAGGGAAGAAACACTTCTTTGCCGGAGAGTTGACTTTGTGAGAGTAGAATATTTATTTGTCTCTTCTTAAAATTGCAGTCTGAGCATGATGGATCTGATGTACAAGTTGAACTGAATGTAGAACATCATCATGATGCAGATATAGTTCCCAACATGACAAGATCCCCAAGGGTTAAGTACATAACGTACTATGAAGATTCTGAAAGTATTCCAGGAAGGAGGACAGCAGTTTGGGAGCTTGATAAAGGTAGATGGAATAGTTACATAATACTCATTATCTTTATCTTTGACTATGACTTACACATCAAATTGGCACTATCTTCATGTAGCAAATCACAGGAACATTGTTAGATCCCCAGTTCTAATGCGGGAGTTGTGGCTCCAGATGTGGCATGATATTCATCCTGATGCAACATCAAAATTTGTTACAAAAGGTGAATCTTGCTGCATGTTTTTATTTCTTCTCTTGGGATTCACCTTGATTATTGTTAACTGATAAATAATATTTAACAGCTAAGCGGGGACCTCTGAGGGATGAGGACTGTTACTGGGATTATGCAAAAGCTCGCTGTGCATGGCCCGAACACTGTGAATACAGGTTATTAGTTTTTTATAATTATTCCCTGTTTAGCTGAGCTTTATAGAGCATGTTATATATATATATTTTTTTTTTTTTTTGGTGAGACAGGTATGTTTTTGGAGATGTTCACCTAGGACAGAGCTGTAGGTTAAAGAATTCCTCAGCTGATCTGCTCTTGCATTATATATAAAATGAGAAGGTAACTCTGCTTTTCTTCTTCTTTGTCCGTCTAAAATATAGTTTAACTATTAAGCTTTAACCATGTGGAGAGCTTGTACTTAAAAAACCCGTTGAAAGCACCTCTCTTAATATAAAAGTAATTTTTTATCATGATTTTGGTTTATATTGGATTTCAGTGCAATATTTCTTCCTTTTTTGTTAAGCTTGAAGTCATTTTTTTTTTACAACTAAAACCTACCATAACTTCACCACCACTCCTTTATCTTTTGAAGTAATACACCATGGTCTGTTGTCATTGTATTATAATTTTATTCTTCAAAAGCTTATGCAAATTAGACTCTTTCTCGTTACAAAAGCTAAATGAAATACCTACTCTGAAATTTCAAATCATGGAATACAGATACAATTTTTTTTTTTAAATATTGTAACTTGATGGCTGGTCCCCTTCAGTCTTGTCATCACTCTTGGACAAAAAGCACGTTGTCAGTTTTCAAGTGGATATTGGCGTTCGTAATTTATGCTATTTAGAATACCTTACATTGTTGTTTCTTTCAGGGGGTTATTTCGCTCAAGACAAGTCATATGTACTGTACACATCATTGACTATTGTTGCTTTGAATGATGAAGCCTAAAAGGATCTAGTCTCCTGTAACATGAAGAGTAGCACGTCATTTTTTGGTATAACACGGAACCAGGTAAGCCTCATCTTTGGTCTGGTTGTTGCTGAATCATCTAAGATCTGATAAACTGAACTTAGGTCCGATCCTTTTTTGGGCACAAAAGTAGATTTGTATATTTCAGATGTTCACCGTAGTATAGTGTAGATTCAGATATTAATTGAGAAATGTGTTAGCATATTTGCGAGGCCTGGGCAGAGCCGTCGACAGTCAAAACTTCATTAAATAGGGTTATACCCTGATATTCATTGAGGTTTGTATATCCGAGTAGTCTTTTACGATTCTTGTAATTCATTTTTCAAATTCTTGTTTTTTAATGATGCTATATAGAGGAATATTCGATCCGCTTTTTCTTCAGCTCGTTTTATAAGCTAATGATGATTGATTCTTTTTCACTGCAAAAAATTAGGTGTAGTAATTCAGCTAACTTAGATTCTTTTAGTTGAATTAATGGGCTATTTTGCCTCGATTTTCATTGAAGTGTGCAGACTGTGCAAGTGTAGCGAATTCATCGTCCTTTGTGAAATCTAGTTCCATTACCAAAAATCTCAAAACTGTGTTCCTAAAATCTTCCGTTGCTCATCTGTTCAGACAATAAGTTAAATTCACAGATGTTATTACTTATTAGTCGATGGCAAATGGCAATAGGGAGACATGGTTAGCGATGAAAGCTGTGTTTTCAAATTCACAAATCAGTAAAAGGAACTAAGCTGTAATTTAAATGCCTACAAAGCAATGTTCAACAATAGTTTAACAAACAGGTGTGAAGGTAATATGACAGTATATGGGAAACGACTGCAAAACACAAAAAAAAATTGGGCTAGCTGCTCTTTTTGATTTCGAAGGAATATTTGAGTTCCATATGACATCTTCTATCATCATCTTCGAACTGCATTAAACAGCAACCAACGCAAAAACATATTACGTTTATTTCCAAAGAGAGAGCACAAAAATGGCTTGGTAGGAGAGCCATTTATTTCATATATCGATTAATAATTGCAGGCACTTAGACTAACCTTAAGCTTTGCTGAATAAATGCCCCGAGCTAGCACACCAGATGGAGTTGTCTCCTCATCCAAAGTATGCTCATATGGCTCTCGCTGAGGAGCAAAAGTGCCCAACATCCCTTTGCTTTGATCAACTGATAACCAAACAATGAAAAAGGAAAACCAAAACACTATCAGCCAAAGGAAATAATCACATTAGAAAATATGATCAACAAGAGTTTCTTTAAAACTAAAAAGCCTGAGGTTTGCCGGTTAACTCAAAGTTTGGCTTAACTTGTTAATTGTGCAATAGGAAGAATGGCAAACACTTCATCATCAGTAACCCTATTAAACATTAAGATACAACATTCAATTCAATGGAAACAAGTTGGCAAATTCCCTAAAAGTAAAAACCATCATTCAAATTGGCCATAATTTTCAAGTTTTAACTACAATCAGATCAAGGCTTCCACAATTTCAACACAATTATTCCTTCTCCGACATTAATTTAAACCTTAGATGTTAAGGAGAAGGAGCTTCACCTTGGAGTCCCGCCTTCCACACTGTGTTGGAGTAAGTTAGACCAGAAACAATGTTGTGCAGAACAGTGAATGTTAACTTCAGCTGATACCGCGATCCCTCCTTGAGAGTGAAAAGAACTCGACTCTGATTTTCAGCTACAGGTAAAGGAGTATTAATTTCCCCAATGTCATCAGATATGATTCCAATTGAATGAAATTTGACTTCAGGTTCCATTTGGCCTGAAAAACAGAAAACAGGCATTATCCGTGAAGGAGAAATGAAATTAGGAAGTAAAAGATTAACCCATAAAACCCTGTAAGACAAACCATTTAAATCGCCTTCCACACAACCAAGCAACTTCTCTTTCCACCTCCTCAAGCTATCATCATCCTGCAAAGAAAAATTCAGATTTCAACCATATTAGAGCTCATCCAACATCCATACGTTCAACTTTCTTAAATTGTTTTAGTTTTTAAATATAGTTTGACATTTAATAACCCGTAAAACAATCAGACTGAAACCAACAAAATCACGAAGTTCAGAACTTAGCCGGCTGTGAAATTGAGAACAACGGAAAGGTAACTCCTTTCACACATTATATGAACAACCACGCAAAAACCCAGAAATTTATGGAATCTTGAAAGAGTAAAGAAATGAAAGAGAAGAAAAAAACCTTGTCTTTCTCAATCTGTTCCTTGAGAGAAAGCAAAGGCCCAGGAACAAAACCAGCAGTAGCAATTGCAGCACCTTCCTTACCATCTTCTTCATCTTCATATTCATGATCATCTCCATCATCAAACACTTCACTTGATGGTTTCTCACTCTTCATTTCTCTTAGCTTTTCTTGCTTCTCACCACCACCGCTTGATGTCCCAGCTTCTGTTCTCTTTCCAGCCTCCATCTCTCTCTCCCTCTCTCTCTCTTCTACTACAGTAACTTAACAATCCGCAAAAGGGCACTAACCCTTTTAAAGTTTTTCACTAAAACACAAAAATAAAAACTTTAGTACTCAAATGGATGATAATGACAAATCAAACCCACGCATATATATATTAAAACGTATAAATATACAGTAAAAATACAGACAGAACTGAAAAGGTATATGTTTCCCTCCCTGACTTGACAACACATTCTCTTTTTTCTTACAGGCAGCTTGTCTGTTCTATGTGCTGTCTTAAAGTGACTGATGATAGATGGATAGTGTGGCGTCAGAGTCTACAGTGAAGACCACAAAGTTCAAATCTTTCCCATTGCCAATTTCCCACCTCCCACCAACTCTATTAAATTTCCTTTTATTATCAATTAATTTTCATGGAAAGTAAAAAATTTGGAGGAGTATCATACAAATATGTTAAAATATAGGGGGCAGCAATGAAAACAAGAAAGAGTGTTATGTGGGAGAAAAGACAACAAAAGTAAGGGCTTGGGGAAAAAGTGAGGCGGTCAAAAAATGAAAGGGTGTGTGGTCTTGACTATGGTCGTGAGTATCGGCATGACACATGACATGTTGTGCTTGGTTTTCTTATTTTTTTAATTTTTAACGAATTTCTTGTGATATATAATTAATTATTTAAATATTTATTGTGAAACAGCAGACGCATCAACATTAATGAGGTCTTATAATTTTAAAATAATATTAGTGTTAGGACAATCAACAATGGATCTGAATACTAATATATATTATCCTCAGACCGAACAACTTACACGTACCCAAGGTTTATCATAATAACGATTGGTATTCAAAAGATTTGAAAATAATAAATAGGAACTTTCGTCATGTATTGTTAGTAATGACAAATTAGTACCCAAAAGATGTGGTCGTCAATGATGACCAAGATTTGGCCGTTGCTGACAACCAAAATGGAGTTTTGCAGCCTCGACGGCCAGATCGATGCGTTACGACACAGATCCAATGGGTCTGTGTCGTACCGCAATTTTTTGACCAGATTCCAACGGTAGTGGCTAGAATCTAACACTGCGAGTAATGGGGGTGTTTTTGTCATTTTATAAAAATTTTATATATTGGGGTATTTAGTTAAATTAGTAAACCTATGGGGTTTTTTGGAAATTTTTAAATTTATAATAAACTAAAATATCAAACTTTAAAAGACATTCTAGTCTTTTCATCATTAGCAAATGGAAATCACTAACAACACATGACAGAAGGTACTTGTTTATCATTTTTAAACCTTTTGAGTACCAATCTGTTATTACGACAAATTTTGGGTAGGTGTAAGTTGTTCGACCTATCCTCATACAAAAACAATCCCAAAAGTAAATAAAAAAACAATTTATAAATAATGTAATTAGATTAAGAGTAATGTTACTCTTACTCCCTCTTCTTACTCCTTTCTCTTATTCACTCATGTGGTAGGTGGGTATAAGAAAAGAGAGAAGGAAGTAAGAAGAGAGATTAACATGAGTAAGTAAGAGAAATAAGTAAGACTAGCATTATTCTTATATTAAATATAAAGGTTTTGATTAAGAAAATGTGACAGTGGCAGGAGACAACGAACCATTCTTCTGCAAAACTTTGTTACTGAGAATAAATGTACAAAGGACAAGAAATAAAAATGAAGAACACAGACAATAGGTACAACACAGAATAACTGAAACCTCAGGCTCTCAGCCCATGTTCGTTACATTTCCGGCATTAATAGTAGCCAGTGTTTCTCGTGAACGGTCAGTTTTATAAAATGTAAAGCCACAACCATCCACCACTCAAATTATTTATTCATTAATCCAAAGGATTAAATAGGTAGCTTGATGTTGATTGAAATGGGCATTGGATCCAACATAAGTTTGTCTTTATCATTTTATTATGGATCACCTAATTGGGCCACCCAATAATCCAAGAAATATAAATAAAAAACACATTTTTTAATTTTCTTATAGATGAACATAAACAAAGCACTTTGTTCATGGAATCAAATCTAATCTAATTTTTACTATAAAAGAATCCACTATCAAAACAAACAAGGAAATTTCCATAAAGTTGCTTTCATCTTCACTCCAATTTGTCCAAATTCAACTTTTTTTTTTTTTTTTTGGAGGATTGTTTCTGCTGTCATCGACAGTATCTTAACCACTTCCAAATTTGATATGGACAAGAAAGCTTATTTTTTTCAAGAGATTGGCAATCACAAAATTACAAAAGAGCCCGTGGATGAAATCTAGAACACATCAGAAAAGAGATTTTTCTTATTGCTATTTCGGTTCGTAATACAATGTGTGAGGATCATANAAATTTGATATGGACAAGAAAGCTTATTTTTTTCAAGAGATTGGCAATCACAAAATTACAAAAGAGCCCGTGGATGAAATCTAGAACACATCAGAAAAGAGATTTTTCTTATTGCTATTTCGGTTCGTAATACAATGTGTGAGGATCATATGAAATACATATTAGTGGAAGAAAAAAAAAATGTAAGGTTTACAGACACAAAGTTTGCAGGGACAGGTCATCTGAAGGGTTCAACCGGGGCTGACTCTTCAAGAGTGGCTGCAGCCTCAAAACATTCAGCGGCTTCTAGCGCTGAACATTCAGTACCCTCGGCTTTGCAAAGCAGGCCAAGATTATACCATGCAGTTGAATTCATTCTATCAAGCCGAAGAGCAGCCATCAAAAAGCTCCTGATGACTGCGTTTGATTTTTCACTAAGCTTTCTAAGAACTAAGGCTGTTGATATCAAGCTTGGTACATGCGTGGGATCAATATCCAAGGCATTCCCAAAAGCTTGTAAAGCTTCTTTATGAAGACCCTTTCTTTGATGAAGTAGACCTGTGAAATCAACAAATTTCATATCACTCGAAAACCACATTAAAATGAGTCTATTCCACAGAACGACAAACCCTTCTCATCCTCCTCAATCATTTTAAAACAACAGAAGCTGACAAGAAGATGAATAATTCTGAATAACAATGGATTTATTTGATCCCAGTGGGAAAAAGAACAATAAGCAATTTGACTAGATGAAAAAGCATATGAGTTTGCAAACATTTGAAAAACATACTAAAATTTTTTACATATATTTTTGAGATATCTAGGTGAGAATACTTGAAAATAAAAAATTTGTACTTAAAATTTTGACATATCTAGGAGAAAATATTTGCAAACAAAAAATTTGCACGGTCAGCAAATGTCCAAGAGTTTATAGTTGTTGCAAATCAAAAAGCATGGAGTCAAATTAAAAATAACTTGTGAAGATAATATAGACTGGGGGATGAAAGTCTACCCGTTGCATGACATCTTGTGGCAGAGAAACAACCAATGGCCTTGGATTTGGAAAGGCACACCTCCGCATCACGCCACTGTGACAGTCTTATGTAGACAAAAGCAAGATCATGCCATACATCCAATTCCAAACTTCTAGCTGGATTTTCAGAGCCCTATCATAAATAGAATAAAGAAAGTAGTTTAGAAACTTATAACCTTGAAGCAAATTTACTCCAAATGTAGCATAATCAAATTAAAAAAAAAAAAATAAAGGTTTGGTATATAGCCCCAACAATTGCATCTTCAAAGTAGAAGAGGTCTTATCTGTTATTTAAATTTAAACACAAGCACCCAGGGCTGAATTAATTAAACATCATAGCCCAACAGACACTATTTATTTGAAAACAAAGCCAACCAATTAATATTGACATATGATTACACAGCCCACTACACCACCAACAACAGATCTGTTCATTTCTGATATTGAGTTCCACGGAGACAAGAGGGCTTTTGCCAGATAATCTAGAAGGAAGATACTTCCACTATCTTAAGCTTTTGCAGTAACCTTCATTTATGTCTTGCATTCCATAAAGCACTATGTTTTCCCCCTAAACCAAGTGACCTCAAAGGAACATTTGATTCCTCAAACAAAAATCTCATTTAACCACCAACAACGATGCAAAGTGAATAGATTTTGGGTAAAGTAGTTTCTATAAATTTTTCCAATTGATAAAATAATGAATTTATAGCAATAAGTTGAATAAGAAATGGATTATTAGCAAACAGACCTTGTGGAGCTTCCTCCCAGAACTGAAGGTTTTACTCTGAACTTGAAGAACAGCGAGAAGCTGAGTATATGTTTCAATAGCACTCTTAACCTGACCTTGTGCAATTTGAAGCTTAGCTTTAGTTCGCAATAAGTCTCCTTGATCCCATTTCCCAGTCTGATCTAAAGCAGCACTTATAATAGTTTCAGCATCTGCAAACCGTCTCTGAGCTGATAATATCCGTGCCATCAGCAACCATCCTTTAACATTAGCCCCACCATCTAGTTTTAGAAAAGATTTGGCATAATGACGCGCAGCGTCCAACTTCCTCTGCTCGGCATTTTCAAGGCTGAGGTGGTAAAGAATATTTGGGTCTCTCATACCTGTACTTCTCCCAGCGCTTTCCAGAACCTGAAGTGCCTTAGACTGCCTGGTGATCCTCTCAGAATCAGTGATGGTTAATTTACATTGTGCTGAAAGTGATATACCTAACAAACAATTAGCAGTGCTTTCAAACTGATCACATTCACCCTCCAAGCACTCAAGAGCTCTGCAAGCAAAACTTGTCCCTTCCTCTGCAAGATCAGGGTTTTCCCCACAAATCTTTGACGCTAATAATAAAGCTGAAACACACCTCGGCTCCTCTCTACTACTCAACAATTTCCTCAACAGATTCAAAGCAACCAAGTCCTCACCTGCTCCATGATAACACAGAGCTAAATTGTGGTACAGTTCTTTCCTATTGATAATCCCAGGAAGCAGTTCTTCGAATTGATTAGCTAAAGACCTCAAGTCACCTGAAATGGACAGAGCAAATGATAGGTGATCCAAGATTGATGGATCCCAAACAACTCTTTTGAGAGAAACTTTTCGTAATAGTATCATTAATAGAAGTATAGCTTCTTCTATATTGTTTCTGGGTACAAATGAACTACCCATTTGGGTGCGTAGGTTTGGAGGGATTGTTTCACCTCCACAATACAGCAAAAAAACAGCAAACTCTTTTTGAATCTTTGCAGTAGTTTCAGTATCAAGATTCCAATGATGGAGGAGGGCTCGTCGGTAAGACAAGATTGCCTCGCGGGGAGAATCAGCAAGTTTCCATAATTGTGGAAGCAACTCAACAGCCTTGTTCACTGTCTCCTGCAATTTACAGTCAGCAACAAGGTTTTCAGGAAAGCCTTCGGGTAATGAAGATTCAATAATGTCCAGAATAACTTTGCAAGCTTGAGCAGCTTCTGCAAGAATGATTGAAAATAATATAATATTAGATGCAATGTTGATTCAATTGAAGCTGTATATCTCAGAAATATTTATTTTGCTTTTTGGCCCCCTAATATACAAGTGCATATGTCAATGAGACGAAAAGAGAGAGTATAATGAGGGCACTGAGCAATGAAGACACTATTAAGGCAATGAACACAACCAAAACCATATGAAGTGTCCCTATAGATTAACATAATGCAAAACATTGGCAAAAGCAGAACACCAAGATATTGAGCTATATATAAAAGATATTGAGTGATATGTCATCAAAAATTTATACGACCACAGCTGTGGTGGTTGGAGAAATATGGATTAAAAGTTAGGATCTTAAAAAAAAGAAGTCCGTTTTCACTTTGAAGCAATGCGTAGATTTAGTATTAGACCATAAGAGTAATATATTTAAGTGTAATTCCATTTTGGATTGGGGGAAAATGAAAATGTTTTGAACAACTGAATTTCCTAGAGAAACATAAAATAATAATAATAACAATAATAAAAAGGTCATTTAAGTTTCAACCACTATACTGTAATTAAAAAAAAAAAAAAAAAAAAAAATCGGTTCCTTACATACTGAAATTACTGCCATTGAAACAACGAGACAGTTTCCTCATATTTAAATTAAAAAATGGAAGTAGCTCCTGATTTCAATAAATTCTACTGGTAATGAAAAACTGTCATATTTCCAATTAAAAAACAATATAAAGGGTACTGAGGAATTCCATGACAATGATAGACACAGGAGACCAGATTATGACAACAATTGAATTGAAAGTACAACTAAAACTTAGAGCTCCCAAAAAATTAGAGAACAGATGCAAAAAGTACCTGTAAATCTCCCAAGAACCTGCAATGATTTTGCTTTAAGAAAGATTGCTTCTAAAAGCAAGCTGACAGCATGCATCGACATTGGTGGTGAAGCATAATTTTGGGAACGTCTTTTATGCCGTTCTCCTCTTTTACTAGCAAGTGTGATTTTCATTTTCGGTGTTGCTGCAGCAATATCTATTCCTTCAAATACATGTAGAGCAGCTTCTATGTTTCCTTTCTGATATTCTATTCTCCCTAACAATGCTCTTGCTTCCTGGAAAAATGCAGACAATTTATTCATGAAAAGCAGGGAAAAAAAAAAAAACTGAAGCTAATTCCAAAAAAGAATGATCTATTTCTGTCACTTGTTTCATGAACTTCAACTCTAGAAACATGTTATGATTCAGTTTTTTGACATAGAAATGTTAAGATGGATAAGGGGCCAAACATTAACGGTAAAAGAAGAAACTAGAGCACATGTGGGAAATCAGAGACAGTACAGATTACCGAAAAGATGGGAAAAGTCTACAAGCATCAGCACTAATCAACGAAAACAAAACTAAATTGCTAGAAATTTGTAAAAACCTCAAACTAGGTCTAAACATGCTCAGTGATTCCTGTAAAACTTTTCATTCAGATTAAAAGTAAAAACAAAATAAAAATATCACAGATTTGACTAAAGAAAGACAACAAATTTTACCCAAGAGACAAGAAAAGATAGAAGCTGAAAAGCTTGAAGAAACTAACCTCATAATTCAAAGAACTACTTTCACGCAGAGACCATTCCGCTTCTTCTATATTGCCCGTATCCGGCTGCTTCTCAGCCTCACAAGGTCTAGAAGAATACCCACTTGCTGAATAATTTTTGGTTACAAGAGATTCGGAAGATGGTACCATTTGCTCTGCTGCTTTTAGTTGCTGTCCTAAGAAGATGCACTTCATAATCTTCTCAAACTTCGGCTTGATTCTGCCTCTTTTCTGCTTAATTATCTTATTTTTAATCTTCATTTTGTTCCACAGCACTCAAAAATCTACAAGCACCATCACACCGTGAACAACAACAATTACAACAAATCAAAACCTTAATCTAAGATGTTTATGTCCTGCATGCACTATAATTGTCCAAGTACTGAAAACAAAATGGGGAATGAATTTCAACACCCTAAAACACAGGAGACTTAGAAATCTCAAGAGAATAACAAACAAAAAAATGCAACTTTAGTACAATTCAATCCCCAAAACCTAAATCCAACAAGAAATTAATAATCAAAACCAAAAAACATACATGTTTCACCAACAACACTTCAAGAATTGCACCAAATTCAATTAAAACATCCCTCTATCAACTACCTCGTGATAATTCCATAAAAAGAATAAGCTTCAAACAAAACCAGTGGTGAAAATTCACCAAAATGGCAACATCTAACCCTAAAACTGATATCCCAATCAAACATATAAACCAATAAAAAAGGACTCACCTTTTGTTTTTCCAAAAAGAAAAGCAGACAAAACGAGCCCACAACACATCAACACCAATACCCATATCCCCAATTCCGCTTATTCTTAGAATGAATTAAAGCATCCAAAGCAAAACTGTTTCAAGAATCATCCCCTTAAAATATTTTCCCTTGTCTTCTTTTCTTTTTCTTTTCTTTTCTCTTTTGTCCCCTTTATCAAATTTACAACTTTCTTTGATATACAATACAAAAAGAACATCCAAACATAGTGTTATTCTGGCCGTGAAAAATTACAAAGGATAGAATTTGAATTGAATCGTAAACCAGAAGATTTTAGAATCAAAATAAAGAAAATCAAGAGAACTCTCTTCTGTTCTGTCCTGTTCTAGGTCCTACTTGAATTTATTTATTTTTAATCGGAATATTAAATTAGTATTGAATTTTGTTTCAAAGAATAATGTTCATTTAATGAATTACAAGAATAAAAAATGAAAGAATCCATTAACATAATACGAATTGTTTTTACTGTTTACGGTTGGCAGAGAGGAAGTTTTTACCGCGCCGATGCGTTCTTGTGCTGGCGTTTTAACGGCGGTTAACCAGAGTCATTTCATTTGAATGACGGCGATTGAACTCGTCAAAAGGAAAAATGACAGCATTCTGCATGTGCTGCTGCTAAAAAACAATTTATAAATACGTAATTAGATTAAATATGAGGTTTTGAATAAGAAAATGTGACAGTGACAGGAGACAACGAACCATTCTTCTGCAAAACTTTGTTACTGAGAATAAATGTACAAAGGACAAGAAATAAAAATGAAGACACAGACAATAGGTACAACACAGAATAACTGAAGCCTCAGGCTCTCAGCCCATGTTCGTTACATTTCCGGCATTAAGTAGCCAGTGTTTCTCGTGAACGTCAGTTTTATAAAATGTAAAGCCACAACCCCCACCACTCAAATTATTATTCATTAATCCAAAGGATTAATAGGTAGCTTGATGTTGATTGAAATGGGCTTGGATCCAACATAAGTTTGTCTTTATCATTTTATATGGATCACCTAATTGGGCCACCCAATAATCCAAGAAATAAATAAAAAAACACATTTTTTAATTTTCTTATAGATGAACATAAACAAAGCACTTTGTTCATGGAATCAAATCTAATCTAATTTTTACTATAAAGAATCCACTATCAAACAAACAAGGAAATTTCCATAAAGTTGCTTTCATCTTCACTCCAATTTGTCCAAATTCAACTTTTTTTTTTTTTTTTGGAGGATTGTTTCTGCTGTCATCGACAGTATCTTAACCACTTCCAAATTTGATATGGACAAGAAAGCTTATTTTTCAAGAGATTGGCAATCACAAAATTACAAAAGAGCCCGTGGATGAAATCTAGAACACATCAGAAAAGATTTTTCTTATTGCTATTTCGGTTCGTAATACAATGTGTGAGGATCATATGAAATACATATTAGTGGAAGAAAAAAAAATGTAAGGTTTACAGACACAAAGTTTGCGGGGACAGGTCATCTGAAGGGTTCAACCGGGTCTGACTCTTCAAGAGTGGCTGCAGCCTCAAAACATTCAGCGGCTTCTAGCGCTGAACATTCAGTACCCTCGGCTTTGCAAAGCAGCCAAGATTATACCATGCAGTTGAATTCATCTATCAAGCCGAAGAGCCCCATCAAAAAGCTCCTGATGACTGCGTTTGATTTTTCACTAAGCTTTCTAAGAACTAAGGCTGTTGATATCAAGCTTGGTACATGCGTGGGATCAATATCCAGGCATTCCCAAAAGCTTGTAAAGCTTCTTTATGAAGACCCTTTCTTTGATGAAGTAGACTGTGAATCAACAAATTTCATATCACCTCGAAAACCACATTAAAATGATCTATTCCACAGAACGACAAACCCTTCTCATCCTCCTCATCATTTTAAAACAACAGAAGCTGACAAGAAGATGAATAATTCTATAACAATGGATTTATTTGATCCCAGTGGGAAAAAGAACAATAAGCAATTTGACTGATGAAAAGCATATGAGTTTGCAAACTTTGAAAAACATACTAAAATTTTTTACGTATATTTTTAGATATCTAGGTGGAATACTTGAAAATAAAAAATTTGTACTTAAAATTGACATATCTAGGAGAAAATATTTGCAAACAAAAAATTTGCACGGTCAGCAAATGTCCAAGAGTTTATAGTTGTTGCAAATCAAAAGCATGGAGTCAAATTAAAAATAACTTGTGAAGATAATATAGACTGGGGATGAAAGTCTACCCGTTGCATGACATCTTGTGCAGAGAAACAACCAATGGCCTTGGATTTGGAAAGGCACACCTCCGCATCACGCCACTGTGACAGTCTTATTAGACAAAAGCAAGATCATGCCATACATCCAATTCCAAACTTCTAGCTGGATTTTCAAGCCCTATCATAAATAGAATAAAGAAAGTAGTTTAGAACTTATAACCTTGAAGCAAATGTACTCCAAATGTAGCATAATCATTAAAAAAAAAAATAAAGGTTTGGTATATAGCCCCAACAATTGCATCTTCAAAGTAGAAGAGGTCTTATCTGTTATTTTTTAAATATAGCACCCAGGGCTGAATTTAACCATCATAGCCCAACAGACACTATTTATTTGAAAACAAAGCCAACCAATTAATATTGACATATGATTACACAGCCCACTACACCACCAACAACAATCGTTCATTTTCTGATATTGAGTTCCACGAGACAAGAGGGCTTTTGCCAGATAATCTAGAAGGAAGATACTTCCACTATCTTAAGCTTTTGCAGTAACCTTCATTTATGCTTGCATTCCATAAACTATGTTTTCCCCCTAAACCAAGTGACCCAAAGGAACATTTGTTCCTCAAACAAAAATCTCATTTAACCACCAACAACGATGCAAAGTAATAGATTTTGGGTAAAGTAGTTCTAAAGCATTAAATTTTTCCAATTGATAAAATAATGAATTTATAGCAATAAGTTGAATAAGAAATGGATTATTAGCAAACAGACCTTGGGGAGCTTCCTCCCAGAACTGAAGGTTTTACTCTGAACTTGAAGAACAGCGAGAAGCTGGTATATGTTTCAATAGCACTCTTACCTGACCTTGGCAATTTGAAGCTTAGCTTTAGTTCGCAATAAGTCTCCTTGATCCCATTTCCCAGTCGATCTAAGCAGCACTTATAATAGTTTCAGCATCTGCAAACCGTCTCTGAGCTGATATATCCGTGCCATCAGCAACCATCCTTTAACATTAGCCCCACCATCGTTTTAGAAAAGATTTGGCATAATGACGCGCAGCGTCCACTTCCTCTGCTCGGCATTTTCAAGGCTGAGGTGGTAAAGAATATTTGGGTCTCTCAACCTGTACTTCTCCCAGCGCTTCCAGAACCTGAGTGCCTTAGACTGCCTGGTGATCCTCTCAGAATCAGTGATGGTTAATTTACATTGTGCTGAAAGTGATATACCTAAACACAATTAGCGTGCTTTCAAACTGATCACATTCACCCTCCAAGCACTCAAGACCTGCAAGCAAAACTTGTCCCTTCCTCTGCAAGATCAGGGTTTTCCCCACAAATCTTTGACGCTAATAATAAAGCTGAAACACACCTTGGCTCCTCTCTACTACTCAACAATTTCCTCAACAGATCAAAGCACCAGTCCTCACCTGCTCCATGATAACAAGAGCTAATTGTGGTACAGTTCTTTCCTACTGATAATCCCAGGAAGAGTTCTTCGAATTGATTAGCTAAAGACCTCGTCACCTGAAATGGACAGAGCGAGTGCGATGACATGATCGATCTATGTGCTTAGTCTACAAGCCAATGGATCGATAGCATTTTTATAGTTCTCAATTATCAAATATATTATAGAAACGATTCCATATTGTTCTGATAGACACATTGCACATTCGTGAGGTTGTCAGACCATAATAAAAAAAAAACACACTCTTTTGAATCTTTCAAGTTGTACAAGATGCCAATATAGGAGGTCTCGGTAAGACAAGATTCTCGGAGAATCAGCAAGTTTCCATAATTGTGGAAGCAACTCAACAGCTTGTCACTGTCCCTGCAATTTACAGTCACAACAAGTTTTCAGGAAAGCCTTCGGTAATGAAGATTCAATAATGTCCAGAATAACTTTGCAAGCTTGAGCAGCTTCTGCAAGAATGATTGAAAATATATAATATTAGATGCAATGTTTCAATTGAACTGTATATCTCAGAAATATTATTTTGCTTTTTGCCCTTATATACAAGTCGCATGTCAAGAAAAAAGAAGAGTTATAATGAGGGCACTGAGCAATGAAACACTATTAAGGCAATGAACACAACCAAAACCATATGATGTTCCCTATAGATTAACATAATGCAAAACATTGGCAAAAGCAGAACACCAAGATATTGACTATATATAAAGATATTAGTGATATGTCATCAAAATTTATACGACCACAGCTGTGGTGGTTGGAGAAATATGGATTAAAAGTTAGGATCTTAAAAAAAAAAGTCCGTTTTCACTTTAACAATGCAATTTAGTATTAACCATAAGATAATATATTTAAGTGTAATTCCATTTTGGATTGGGGAAAATGAAAATGTTTTTGAACAATAATTCCTAGAGAAACATAAATAACGTATAAATATACAGTAAAAATACAGACAGAACTGAAAATGGTATATGTTTCCCTCCCTGACTCTGACAACACATTCTCTTTTTTCTTACAAGCGAGCTTGTCTGTCTATGTGCTGTCTTAAAGTGACTGATGATGAGTGGATAGTGTCGGCGTCAGAGTCTACAGTGAAGACCACAAAGTTCAAATCTTTCCCATTGCCAATTTCCCACCTCCCACCCAACTCTATTGAAATTTCCTTTTTATTATCAATTAATTTTCATGGAAAGTAAAAAATTTGGAGGAGTATCATACAAATATGTTAAAATATAGGGGGCAGCAATGAAAACAAGAAAGAGTGTTATGTGGGAGAAAAGACAACAAAAGTAAGGGCTTGGGGAAAAAGTGAGGCGGTCAAAAAAATCAAAAGGTGTGTGGTCTTGACTATGGTCGTGAGTACCGGCATGACACATGACATGTTGTGCTTGGTTTTCTTATTTTTTTAATTTTTAACGAATTTCTCGTGATATATAATTAATTATTAAAATATTTATTGTGAAACAGCAGACGCATCAACATTAATGAGGTCTTATAATTTTAAAATAATATTAGTGTTAGAACAATCAACAATGTATCTGAATACTAATATATATTATCCTCATGGGCCGAAGGAACTTATATGTACCCAAAATTTGTCATAATGAGATTGGTATCCAAAAGATTTGGAAACAACAAATAGGA